TAAAAGAGGGAGTGGAGGTATTAAAAAAGATGATTATGGTGTTTTAGGAAAATGTGTCATATTTTTTATAATTAACTAACTTACCTAACTTCCTTAATCTAATCAAATTAGTTAAATGGGTCTTATATTAAGGATCAGAAGAGTATTTAGATAGAATTAAAATCATATTTTTACAGTATATGATGTAAATATATATAGGAATTTATTTTAATTTGTAAAAAAATATTTTTCAAAAGCACTTCTGATACTTCCCAAACATCCCCTTAATAGAGAGGATTTGATACTCCTGTTTTAAATAAATTTTACACTATATGAGACAAATTAGATAAATATATAAGAAATTTTTTTGTGGATGTAACTCAAGATATCATCAAGTCAATTTTCACTTGGAACTAATCTCTATTAAACTTAAGGCTAAAATTCTTTTAATAAATATATTTCTTAACATTTAAATTTGTATTCCCCTCCTCATGAAAATAAAATCACTTATCATTTCAACAAACAAATAACTTGTTGATAAATATAAAAGGAAAAAATTTATTTTACAGATGCATCTAATGGCAAGCAAGTACAGAGGTCGCTTGTTGATTGGGTGTTCTACCACAACACGAGTCTAGTCAAGAATTGCGCAGTCTAGCCGAAATGATGGGATGATCGGTTGTAAAGAAACAGTTGTTGACCTCTCACTTTATCTCGTCAGTTACATCCTCGGCAACGGCAAGAGAACTCCCCACACACTGAGTCAACGGTAAGTGACCATTCGCAGGAATACAAATAACAAGCAACACAACCTCCATTAATTATTGAAGCAACTTTAATTGCAATGTATACAACGCCACAAAACTCATCTTGTCCATTTCACTCGGCTAAATTAGAAATTTTCGTTACACTACCACAAAAAAAAAATTGCAATTAAGATTTGATGGACAAGAAAGTTGAAATGCATCCCACGCTCACAACATTTAACAAAAATAAACCCGTTTTCACTTTTTAAATATCTCAGAATCCATTCTTCTACTTTTCCATCTTCGTTTTTTTTTCCCCCCTTCTTTTTCTATTTTTCCTCTATAACGTGTATCACTTTACAGGCCAAAAGTTGCGTGTTTCCTAAACTATGCAGAGTTTCCATATCTACATGAGCTAACTTCTCAGTCTGCTCTTCTTCTCCTCCAGTCTTGGCGCTGCATGTATAAGAAAGAAACTATATTAGAGAAAAATACTGACAAGGGTTGAGTCAAAAATGTGACAAATAGCGCATCTGCTTACCAAGTCCATTTGCCTCAGACGTCCTCATAATTCTAAGCCTCCTCACAGAATTGAGAAACATACTGGTTGCAATTATAGAGGGGAAAGAGTCAATATCAAACCAGATTTAACAAGTCCTGATTTTCACGATTACTATTAAGACAGCTAACAATTACTACCAAGCAAAGCCAGACATAGCTTATTCTAACAAAGATCAGGAATACAGAGACATTTACTTCATGGTTCTCCTTATGAAACAACAAAACCATAACCCTCAACTCTCACAGAAGCAGTCAAGCCAAACCAAAAAAAAAAAACAAAAGCTCACAGAAGTAGGACAGTGTCAGCAGTTGCAGATTAGTTCTATCCCGCAGATTTGCACAGTAAGTACTCAGTTACAGAACCTCAATTGCATTCTTATGAACAAGGCCAGTTGAGCTCATATTACAGCAGTAAGTACTCAGTTACAGTAACTTAGTCACTAGGACATCGCAATTGAATAGTATGAAAGTCATATCATGAATAAGATGCTTACTCCCAAGGAACATCTCCAACAAGCATCCAGTCTCCTTCTTTGTCTTCGTAAGTCAGCACGAAATTGGAAGATTCATCCAGCAAGTTTAAGTGTCTCTTTTTTGCTCCAACGACAATACCACGATCCTCCCCATTTAATCCTGCTGAAAATTGAGCAAATGCCAATGAAAAGAGAAAAGGTAGAGGAGAATCTTTTAAATCTATAAAGCTAGCACATGATTTTATGGTTGATTCTCTAAGGCCAAGGAAACTCACCTTTGGTAGCCGGTTCGTTAAACATATCCTCCAAAGCACGCGCCAAGTTTTCATAGGAACCATGAGCACTCAAATCAACCTTCCTTCCAATAGGTGTCCCGTCCATATTTACCTTCACAAACAGGGATCTCCTAATGTGTGCTTCTTCTTTCGCAATACTATTGTTTTTATTACTACCATTGTCAGTGGCCTTCCTTGCAGCTGTTTGATTACCCTTCGCCTCAGTGGCTGGAGATTTTGAGTGATTATTATTAAAGCTGTTCATTCTGTATGCTCGAAGAGGAGGCCATCCAACAACTTGACTGTTGAAGAATTTGAAGACAAAAAATAAATCAATAAATAAGTAACAATCCCATCAGTGAATAGAGGAAGATAAAAGTGGCAAATATTTATTCATTTCATTTCTGAGTTGAAACAGCTGAGGCACAGTCCAAAATACATCACTGGGAATAGTTAGAACCAGAAACACGGTTCAACAAATGACCAAGTACTTGTTGAGAAATAGTAAACTGTAAATTATTCATCTCACGGGACATAAGTGAAAGCATTCTAATTGTTAGAAAAGCAGAAAATGACTCAACAATTTAGCAGAGTTATGCGATAACTCTACTCTGCAAAAAGTAGATGAAACACAGACGTAGTTTAAACTCATTTTTTATTCTGCTCAAACTCTAACTGCTGAATCGAAATCTAAGTCAAACTGCCAAGCCCCAAGTACACATTAGATCAAAGTTTTACTTGTCTATATAGCTCGTGTGCCAATTATTCAAGATTCCGATAGCATTCAGTTTCAGTTGTGAAATAACAATCCTTTTTACTCAAAAATGCATGACTGTCCCAATATTGAGACGCCATGACATATGTTTCTCCTATTTATTAAACCCAATGGATTTGAATTGTAATGTCCCCAGGCTTTTACCTTCACGACAGCGAATTTAGGTTTCTTAAAGGTCACGATTTGCTAAACCCTCTAAAGAATTGTGGCAATAAGAACACGAAATAATTCTCACGAGGCAAAATTGATAGACATCGTAACATAATTCTTGAGCATAAAATTAAATTTCCAGCTTTTAATCGGGAGGAAAAGAGCAGGAGCTCTTGTAAATAAAAGATTAGGAGTAAAATTTCAGAGTTACCCCTTCGCCCGTTCATTTTTCAAATTCATTTTCTTAGGATAGATTGATACAGTAATACTTTGTTAAGTTCATATCAGCAAATAAAATGTTAAAGTCCCAAGCACAATTATAACTCCAAATCAGGTAAACATTCATTGCGATGCAATATTAGAAGTGAATTACCAAGAATTTGACTCACCGGAACCAGTAGCAACAATAAATTCACTGGTATTCGAGAAAAAAATGCAGTAAAAATCCTAGTTTGATATATCACCAAAACACCATCAATCTATTATTTTAAGATCATAAAAAGAGTGGATCCATAAGTAGAAAAACTAACAAATGATAGGGGAAAATAATCTGAAGGCTATGTATTTACCTAGGACCGTTTGAAGCGACAAGAGAATCAGCAGCTCTCTTGGTGCCAGCTGTCGCGTTAGGAGAGGAAGAGGAGGCGGAGGAGGAGGCTGAGGAAGAAAAATCCATAGCAGTCAAAATTCTAGCATACTGAGTCGTTGGAGGAGGCTGAGACTTGAGTCGAGGATGAGAAAGGCTTAAGCCAAGACCCAATTCAAGCTCGGACTCATCAGGGCAAGACGAATCCTCAGAAGAAAGGACCAAGTTATCCTCTTTAGACTCCGTGAGCATCGAGCGCGGAGAAGAATCACCCTGCATCACAAATTGTTCCGAAGCCCGCAGAAGACGAACTAAAAGAAGAAGGAATTAAGACAACTAGTGGGAGGGCGGACACAGAAGAAGGTATGGGGCTAGTGCGTTTGGAGGAGTTTGGCGAAGCGGTGAATGAAAAGAAAGGATAAATGGTGAGGTTAGGTGTGTTGTTGTGACGGTAAGGGGGAAAGGAAGGAGGATAGGTGCCGTGATAAAGAAGGGGTAGTGATTGCGGTGTGACCCACATGTCTGGTTTGTGCGCCTCCATCAATGTCTCCTCAAACCTTGTACTTTTCTCCTTCTTCTAGACGTTTTTGCGTCCTTTGCACCCCAGATAATTCTCATTCCGCTGCGCACCAGTTTCATCGTTTCGACAGCTCCAAATTTTATTTTATAGCTTTTCCTCTCTGTTGGAGTGTTATTTATAAATGAACATCGTTTTATGTTTAACATAAGAAATGATTAAAATTCAGCTCAAAAATTGGAGGAAAAAAAAGAAGCAGCATATTCTGATTTATCCAAGCCCCTTGGGGATAAATACAAAGACAAAGGAATATGAGTTGGGGGAAAGCGAACTTGCTAGTTGGAAACCAAATGTCGCGGTACCCGCCGACAAGCCGACAAGGGTGGGACCAGACATCACACGGCTCGGAAAGCGGAGCGCCTATGAGTAATGAATGAGTCATGATCGTGGCGTCCCCGTGTAACAGCTCAGCTTACAAAGTTCGTGATGAAACCTCCCTCCACTATGTCCGCTACCCAGCAGACACTTTCTACCACACGTTGCCTCCTCCTCCATACCCTCCAAAATCATACTGTGTGCCACCGTGCTCCCCCGCCGCACTGGATTCCACACTTCCATAAGTTCCATTGCCATTAACAGCCCCACGTCAATGTGGAATCATGATTTTAATCAGCTAATTTCTTTCAGCATCCATTAGAACGAAGCATCCTATAAGCTCATCAGCATTCATTCATACTCATACGGAGAAAACAAAACGGTCGGATACGATCCACAGCATTGACGGCAGTTTGACTTTGAATGTCGATCACCATCCTCTTCCGTTGTCCATTTGTTTAACGGAGAACAGATCAATCAGACAAGACGACCAATCAGAGATCACAATACATGCCACGCATTTATAAAATATTTTTTCAGTCCTAAATACAAGAGCCATTTTGTAATAAAATAACATAGCTAATTATATCAAAATATTTCGCACCAAGAAGAAAATTTCGAAATTTATTCCTTCAGGGAAGCAAAAACAAATATTGATATCCCCTGGTTTCCAAAAATCGTATATTCCCGGAATTAGTAATATTATTATTGTTCAGTGGTCATATTTGTTTCTGCGTTCTGTGCGATACATGGTGTGCGCTCGGTGCATGCAGTGCATGGAGTAGGCAGCCTTTCAGAGAGATCAATCCGCAACGTTTGGCGCTTTTCATCATTTCCAGGTACATGCAGAAGAGCGTCCATGATTAAAATCTCCCAATCACGAGGAAGGAAAAAGGAAGACCAGGTATCATCTGTTCAACCAAACCCATTAAATGGTCAAAACAAACCTTCTCATACTGGCCACTGGCAAGAGAAATAGCACGCATCATCTTCTTCCCTTTGTTTGATACTAAAAAAAATGTAATGTGATAAAAACAAGCATTTACTTTGCTCACCTCCATTACGAACTGCCTTCAGCTGTAACAACCCAGTGCCTTGTGGCCCCGAAACAGGAAATGAGCAAGACACAGAATGCCTCTTATGAGCTACTGCAAGAGATGCATTGTACCATGGACCTTTAACGATTGGTTCCCCAAGAGCCTCTATCATCGCCTGGTTCTTGCTCGCTTTCTCCATAGCCTTGCTGCAAAGTTCCCCACAAACAATTTTAAAAGTTGCTAAGGCTCACAGAATTTCAGGGGGACAGTCACACACAGAAGTATTGACGTAGCTTGAGCATCCAATATCTAAAGTTAGAGAAAGACAGAATTACTTAATGAGTCTTCCAAACTTATCTGCACGCAATTTTTTGCCCAATAGACTCCTTCCCTTATTTAAATGTTAACAAGAGATGGCTGTAATACTACTAGTATTATTTACAGGCGGCATAAATAAACTGGCCCAGCTTCAGTTTCCAGTTAAAACCAACAGCGAACAACCTTCTCCAAATGTAATAAAGGTAGGATGATAGCCATCACTATGTGCACTGAATTGTGAGGCCTATTTTGTACTTAGGTCTAAACTGTACACTACACAACATGGAAAAACGGTTCTTATTAGCCATATCATGTCCGCCAGATGCTTATGGATAAGACTAAAGTTGCTTTTATTGAACTCTTAAACGCAGAAAATTACATTCAATTTAAGAATAACAACAAATACCAAAGCTTGGAAAAATAAATAAACAACAACAAATACCTACTACAGCCTCGATAGATAGCAAGGTCATCCAGCGCACTAAGAGCAACTCCACCAGTAATGGTAATCAAAACAAATGAAACTGCCTTACGAACGTAAGGTTTGCTCTCCTCCTCTTCTACATTTTTTATGGACCTGCAAAGTCATAGTCACAAGAAGGACCATTCCGTTCATATATTGATCACCAAATTTTCAAAAAGTAACAGTAAGGGATTCTTGCCAAGTCTTCTTTCACCGAAAAATCTCAATTTGTATGTTTAGTTGATTTCATCTGAGAGAGATTTGATAGTAAAAGATAACTGGTGTTGATTTCCTTGTTGATTTAATCAAACAGCTTTCTCAATTTTGGATTTCACCTTGACCAAAATAACTGCTATGCGGTGTAAACGTTTTGGGGCAAAAATACAAAATTAGCAAGTCCAAATTTTGTTGAGCTACCAATTCCATGGCTCTAGTCTCACATCAGGGGCCGTCGGAACTCCCTCCACTATCCACTGCCTTAACTACCAGTTGATGCAATTCCCCAACTCTGCTTAGCAAAAACTTGGAGAGTTCAATAATTTGTTGAGCTCTAATACCCAGGATTCAAGCGTAGCAGTGATGGTTAAAACAATTTGAGGGTATCTGCCCATCTTACGACCCTCAAAATCATTAATTTTCACACCTTAATTAATATAGCCTCTAACAGAACCAGGATGCTCAATGTTACAATACAAAAGAACAAAAATCCAGAAGCAGTCACAGGAATCAATATTTACGGATAGAAACAGGAAGCCCTTGCGCAATGAAATGCTGCAAGAATCAATAGGGAATTAACCTGGAAATCTGAGGTTTTGAAAAGCTTCTGAGGAAGGAACTCAACCGCGTAACCAACATTCCACACTTCGATCTTGGTTGAGATCTGTCCCCCACAGTAGAGATTTTCTTGCTGTCAACTGTGCGGATTATAAGAGTGACACGACACGCCCTGAACAAAATGGTTTTTCTCCGTCCGTCAGTCCAACCTTTTTAGGGCTTTTTTCGTTACTTCACTGTTCTCTGAACCTCTTTGCCCTTTTGTTTCGTTTTGTTTTGTTTTTTTTTGGGTAACAACCCTTCTGCTTTTAAATTGGATTAATTGGATCGGATCATCACTGTCTATCCATAAGAGCATAAGTGAAAACAATATTTCAAAAAAGTTTAGACGCCCATTTGAGTCCAACAAGCTAAATTAATAATAATGACCGTTAGATTCTTTTTAAAAAAAATTAAGAAAAGCGTCATAAATATCAATTCAGATAATTATAAAGAGAATCTTAGTTGTAAAAAAATTACAGTTCAAAACTTAAATACTTTATTCTATGATTATTTCAGTTAATATTTGTAACAATTTTTAAAAAAAAATTGTCGGTTTTACTTTTAAAACCTAACCATGATTTTCTCCTTTTCGATGCGACATGTCATTTCCCTTTTCAATATGGCAAGTAGTTTATTTGTATGCAACCAAAATATTTATTTACTAAAAGAAATTTATAGAACATTTCTTGAACTATTATTGGTGAGCCATTGTTTGTCATTCACTGCCATTATTTTTCTCTCATTCTTTATTTCTTAGATTTCGTGTGCGCGTGCGTGCGTATAAAGGGATATCCCGTGACACTGGCGGTCATCAAAATCTCGTTTTCTTAATTTTAACCAAAAACTCATTTAAACTAATTTAAATTTAATTTTAAATTATTTTAATGAAAATTACAATAAAGCAAATTACATTCATAAAAATATTCTTGACATTTTGGATAACGCATGAAACTTATCCACTGGTTTGTCGAAAATAACCTTGGACTCCATTTGCATGCATTTATTTCGGGAGAAAAGAATTATTAGCGGGAAGTACTCAGATATAATACTCCCTGGCAACTAAATCAAATTGCAACAGTCTTCATCAAATTTGAGTAAAAGAAACACAATACATTGTAACACATGACATATCATCACAACCACTACTGATGTCCAAACGAAGTTCTTGGTCTTAAAAGACCTTTCTCTCCCTTTGGAAAGCTTCACAATCCCTCACATCGGGCTACAAATGCACAAAATTTCCCACCCGAATGGCATTATAAAAAAGCATTCAAGGGGACTACTGATCTAACTCGCAGAACAAGCTAATCTTAAAGTCTCAAATGCTTTAACTCCAAAATGTTCTTTTTCATAACCCCGCCCCCCCAACAAAAAGTAAAAAAACTGAGCTTCATGTCGCAAGTCATGCTCGGTTTTCAGCAACTGTAAGCATCCTCTCAACAGGATCTTCATGGATGGCTGTTTCTCTTCAATGCAGTTTCCTTATCGTGAACCACGTTGCAGATAACCATCGCCTCTTGGTCTACTATAGTCACCAGCATCCTGAAAACTTCCCCTGCCCGAGTTCCGGCCACCAAAACGCCCCCTTGGAGCATCTGTTTGATAACTGCCTCTGCCTCTTCCCCTTCCTGCTTAATACATAAGTTTTCTATCAATATAACCACCATCCGAGCCTTTCTCTATTTCCATCAAAAAACATGACAAACAAAACCAAGCAAAATGCACACACAAGACTCCGTATCAGCGTTATCTGACGATTCTACTAACATGGTAGACAGTTCATGAAACAAGAGAGGGTGATGATAATTGGAAGTTAAATTATTGCATTGCCATGAAGCAAATATAACAATTATAAACAAATAACTCATGATACAATCGCTCTCCAAACCCCTTTCATATCTGAAAGCAGAGCTCCCTCAAGGGACCATGAGTGCAGACCTAAAGAAAGGGAAAACAACCCCCCTCCCCAACAAAAGCCAACATCAAGATTACAAACTCTCAATACCAACACAAGCCTATATATGATGAAATTCCAGTTACAGCAACCATAAATTATATAAATTGCAGTCACTACCACACCCTAACATCCTTGCATCTAACAATGACCCAAAACACACTTTCTGGGACATGCAACGGCACCACCAAAAAAATTAAAAAGCATGTATAAGTCTCTCAAAGCACCACTGTGCCCAAGAACGCTACAATAGCACACCACCTTTCATACTCAGTAGAGTTGTCACATTTAAATCACTCACACAGAGGTGCAGAAAATAGTGGCTCTACCAAAGCCGATAGCAAAACGGTGACAATACAAGGATAGGAAAATTTTATTTATTATTTTTAATACTTAAAAAAAATTTAAAAAAAAAAAACTTCAGTCACTGGTCAGAACACATGCCTAATTTCAGACTTACAGAAAACACTCAATGAGAGTTCATCATGAATAAGGTTTACCACTAAGCTTTCATCAGAGTGTATGCGTTAACGATAAAAGACGCGAGATTGAACTGAAAAACTTAATGTATTGCACTCAGCCCGAATTCAGATGACAAAATGTGCTGAATGTTGCAGACGACACCCTCACAAATCCAGTATTGACCATTAGCTAAGCATGCTAAGACAAATCAACCAACAAGATTGTTGTAGAGCTTGCAAATGCAAATATACCATCATAATCAAGAAATTAAGAATAAACTCTAGACACGTCAGAATGCTTCTCATTCAACACTTTGAAACAAAATATTTATCAGCTAAAACCCACAACCCCAAAAGGTACAAGATTATTGAGGCTTTAGAATGAGCTAGAAATGAATAATGAATGAAAGTGGGACATTACTTCCTCCCCGAGCAGTACTGCCACTGTTTGGTCTCCGTTCCTCAATGTATACTTGTCTTCCAGCTAACTGTATGGGAGAAGCCTACAGGAACAAGGTACTTACATTAAGACAAATATATAACTAAACAAAGTCCAAATTGAGTTAATATAGAGATAGCCATTATTACAACTAGAATGTTGAAGATGCTAAACCATACAGCCATCCCTAAAATTGGAAAATGAATCAAAAAACAGATGACAAAAAGAGAAAAGGATAAGAAATCTGGGCTAAATTTTCCCACCAAAACACACAATCCAATGAAGTACGTGGATTCTTATTAGCAGAAGACAAGCAGTGGCTTCATCATTATTTGCCTTAAGTACATTCTTTATGACCGATTCACTTACCAGAAAGATGATTAGAGGAAAGGAATCGAATGGAAAATATGAAATAATGTAGTTTGGTCGTCAGAGATAACAGGTTCAAGCAAATCACCAACAAATATAAAATCTTAATTTCTGGATCCTTTTTTACTTTCTAAGTTAATTAAGCTATCAAATCAAAAACAAAAAGGGGTAATGGGGAAATATCAGTTCAAACCTGGAGTGCAGATTGAACACCAAAAATGTCTTCAAACTCCACAAACGCATAGCAAACTCCAATTTCCTGCAAACCCAATATTCATTTCAGCCGTTCTCTTTTCATGGGTTGGCATAAAGACATTCAGCTTCATGAACAAATGAAAATTACCTTCCGAACTCTAATGAATATTCCATCTGGCTTAATTCTGCCAAAATTCTTAAACTCCTGCTCAATCTCAGCTTCAGTAACATTAGCTGGCAGGTTTCTCACATAGACAGATTTTACTTCACCTACAGGGGTCATAGACCAAGAATCAATCTCACATTTCAAGATTAAAGAGCACTCAAGCATCACAAGTGTCAAATCTCATGATGCAACTGTTACGGAATTGTTAAATATGGCATGGAAAAGGAATTGTTAAATGGCCCTCACATCCTTACTAAATTAATAAACAGTAACACTGCATAACAAAAACTGTTGAGTATTGATAACAAGAGCCTATTAATATTAACAATGCCTAAAATGATCTTGTTTTCTGTGCTCTCATTTCTCCTTTCCTCCCCAATCTTCCAATCAAATGACCCTTCACGCAAATGCAGTTTCCAATGTGGAGCCCCCAAAAAAAGAAATTTACAATTAAAAATACTAGAATGTATACTCTGACACTCTTAAAGATCAAGAAATGTGTGCCAAATAGCCTCCCATGTCTCAGGCTAGTCAAACCTAAAAAATCATTACGAAAATATAAGCATTTGTATTAGAACATTCACAAACTGATTACAATACAAGGACCTCAACCTAATAGTAAATCAAGGGAAAACAGAGAAAGAAAATAAACTTTGTATCATCATTTATACAGACTGTAGTCAGTAACATACTCGTGCACAGATCAAACAAATTCCCGGGGGAAATGCATATCAGTTAGCTAATATATCAATTAGTATTTGCTGAAAGGATGTGCAAGAGAGAGAAGAGTTAGGGAAGCAGAAATCAATAATTAAACCTTCTTCTTCTAGTCCATAGCCTTCCTCTGCTGCATCAACCCCCGACTCAGGAACATTAAGGGATGCAGAGCTAGACTGCTGAACGGCAGGCTGTGCTACATGATTCGACTCTGAGACAGTTGGGGCAGTTTTAAAGGATTGTTGCTGAATGGCTGATGGCACAGGTTGCCCTTTAGTTTGCAACTGCAATTCAACCGCAATATATTCAAATTAAAACAAAACAACAAAAAACCTACACAAACCTGAAGTATGTGTTCTGCATGCAAACATGGCACTTAAAGGAAAAGAAATTGTTAACAAGAAATTTAAACTTAAGCACATCCACAATTCCAACTTGTTTCTTGAAGACTCCCAAATCCAAAAGATTGTTAGCATTAGTTTCCTAATACTTTATGCCCCATAAGATTAATCAAGAATATAATTAACTTTTGACAAAAGAAAGGGGGACAAATAAACCAAAGAGACATTAAGCTTCCTGCCTCCATACCATAAGCTGCAATTGATCTGGCATCTTAAGAAAAGGATAGCAGCAGGCAGGCTTGATAAAGGAATAACTTAAAGGTAATAAACTGAAGACGTCGGATGATGACAACAGTAGACAAATGCAACTAAACTAAAATTTTGGTGACAAGCTATGTGATAGATTCCAATATGGAAAGCCAACAAAAGCAAAGCTTCCCAAAACCTGACTTCTAATTCAAAGACATCATATCCATTCAACTAAAACCAGGTCCTTAAATGATTGCAGCAACCATTTCCTTAACTACCATAAGAATATGCTATAACAAGTTATATAAGGAAACGAAGAATAGAATGAAAAGGCAGCAAACTAAGCAAAAAAAGATCACAACAATCAAATAGTGAAAAAAATACATACTATAGATGCATAAGTTCTCTTAGGAGGCTCCTCCAAAGGTTCTTCCACATGAGCAGCAGGGGATTCACGGATGGCTTGCCCAGCGTTTTGCATGGATGGAGATGCCTCCTCTATAGGAGTTTCATCCACAACAATTTCAGTTTCAAGATCTTCTTGAAGATGCTGTTGCTGTTGCTGCTGCTCTGGAAGACTATACTTGTCCACAGGATCATCTTCTATGTGAACTGAGTTAACATATTCCTGAGCTTCTTCTTCCAAATCATAGTCTGAAGCTGTTAAAATTAAAGATTTAAACAAACAAAAAATCCGTATCAGAAAACAGATTCTTAGCATAAATTAAAAAAATTGCGGAAAAAATCAATAATCTGAAAATTTAAATGTACTGAGAGAACCCGTAATTTAATCTAAACATTGCAGTGTAAATATGATGAACCAATAATCTAGCAAAACTGTTATGCAACACCGACTAGTAGAAAAAACCATTTAAATAAATATAAGTACTATATGATCCATCCAATATCAACCTATATCAGTCCATTTTAGAGTAAAACAACTTTAGAAAATGAATGATTTGCGCAATCCCTCAGTAGTCAATTACCAGGCGGTTCAGCAAGAGAATTCGACACATTCAGTTGCTTGTCTCTCTTTTCTGATGCTGCTGGTACCAGATTTGGGAACACCACTCCATCATCAACAAAATGAAAAATATCATTCAGTACAAAGTAACCCTTCTCCTGAGGTGCAAGAAAGAAGGATTGAACAAACTTCCTCCTCCCATTGATGTCCTTCATCTTGATGAAACCTGAGACCATTACAAGCACCCCTCCATCCCAAGAATCAAGAGAATTGATTGTCTTGATTTCGATTGAACTAAAATTCAATGACATGAGAAGTCCATGAATGTCCTACACAGAAGAAATGAAACTCGTCATTCATTGGTGAACTTATCAGGAAAAAAAATTAAAAAAATAAATTATAGAAAGAAAAAAAAAACCACACACGCACAGTGGAATTTGAATGCCAATTAAGGTCACACACATTACATTAAATTAACAACATCTACGTATCAGCGTCTTTGGCTAACGAGAAATCTGTACTTAACAGCATTGTTGCTGCCACCTACCAGGAAAAAGCCCCGCAATATAACCATGCCCAAGGCTGTTTAACCTAAGCATCGACCATGTCGATAGAAGATAGAAAAAGTAGGCCTCACATCAAATGAAAAGTTAGCACTCCAGGACCTAGGGAATAACGGAGCATGAGAATACAACCCGCTCTTTGTTCTAGACACTATGCTCTTACTTTGCTCAAATTTCTCGATGATTCTTGTACTACGAATGGTGAAAGTCATTAAGGCACAGGAGATAAACAAGTATATTCTCCCCAAATTTCCTATACAGATTTTTACACCCTATCAATTAGTTTACATTTTTGACCCGTTGTTTTCAAAGGATACAGCCAGTCCTTTATTTTCAACGGTACACAAATAGTCTTCTTGCCTTACATATGCACCTTTCCACAAATGCCTCTACATATGCTTGGATGGAATTCCTCCAGCAAAGAAAAATGGCATACTTACAACACAGAGCAGGGATGAGACATCATTGTAGAGATGTGGGTTTTATGGCCTCCCAAATCTTCCCTGTATCTTCTCACCTTTTCAATTAGTTTTAACTTCAACTCTCCAATTTGATTATAGCTTTATCATCCATCACAGAAACATGCCTGTAAACACCCCATTCGCTCTTTCTTCTTCATCATCCCAAGCGTGTAAGCTACGTTGTTGAACTTTAGGCAACATATAATCCAAAACTGGGGACATCCACGTGAGCCCAATACATACAACAACGTTTGATTACAGCTTTACCACAGGTGTCAAAGAAACATACTTGTAATACCCCATCCCCTTCCTTTTTTCATCGTCCCAATCGTAGTCCCAATCGTATAAGCAACGTCATTGCACTTTAGGCAACAAACAATCCAAAATAGGCATTATCCACATTAGCCTACATCTCTGCGAACACCTCATTCTATCTCCTTGTAATCATTCCCAAGCGTATGAGCTACATTGTTGCACTTTAGGCAACATATAATCAGAGCTAGTGTTATCCACAGCAGCCCACCACATTCGACAAAAATGACTTTCAGTATCCCTCGTTATTCCTCATTAAGAGCTGAATCTCACTCAACTGGGAAAGAAAATCCAATTTAATAATTGAAATTTTGAAATTGTGCCCCGTTACATCAGTACCTTCTATTGGATGAGCCTCAACAATGCAAGGTTTCGATTTGTGCCCATACAATTCTCATGTGGCTAACAAAGATAGCCCCAATAAAATTGACACTGACAAGCCAAATTCGATATGGAGGATAATATCATAATAAGAGCTCTGAAATATTTGCGTGTTAGGCCTTGATGGAAATGACCACCCTAAGATTGGTAACGGATGCTCAATAGAGTGTTCGTCAAACAAATATTTAGTTTCTTTTCACGAATTTGTAAAATGCAACATAAGACCCCAGATAGAAGAATTGGAATTCAAAAATTTCAGGCATGGACAAAAATGTTGAAACCAACTTTGATGATGGAGTATCTGAGATATCAGTTAACCAACAATGATTTAGCCCGCTCGAATACTCGTGGATTTTTCCCCAAAGTATGTTTAGGACTAATAACCTTTGGCCATACGAATAAGAAAAGCTAAGGAAATCGAATTCATTAGGCATTAACCAAGACAGGAAACTAGACATAATTTAACAAAAATATGCTCCCAAAATATCTACCAGCATATCGTTGGCTGTTTCACTGGAATCCCCGTCGACCCGAATCATAGAGCTAGCTTCAGAATAGAACTGATGAACAAGATTGGGTTGTTGTCGAAGAACTTGATAATACTGCCCAACAAAGTACGACCCAACCTGAAACCACCCATACAAACGCCCATTGAGGTCAAATCAGATATTCATACAAGCATCCCTATGCATGGATTTAATACGGCTGCGAACTACAATACCTGGGCAGCACTAACAGAACCGGGATACGCCATTTTCAGTTCCCTTTGAATCTCTGGTTTGCTATGCTTTTCTAGTTTAGCATGAAGTGCAGATAGAGAACTCTTACGCCTCTGAAGTCTGAACCCGGTAGCAGATCCAGAAAAAGGCTCAGTAACTGAAACCCTAAATGTCCAAGGAAAGGTAGGGCTTCGAATCAACAAAAAGCCCTCTGCCCCTCGACCAACAGCTCGAAATTAATATTTTCTGAGTACTTAAAGATGCGTCAGGGAGGGAGGGATCCAAGAAACACAGGAGGCAAGTGAGCAAATCTCAAATAGATCAGCGCGGGCAGATAGAGATGGAGCGGAAGGTGAAACTGGAAGAGTGAGGATTCTGCTGCAGATAGAGGTCTGTGGTGGGGTTCAGGATTCGCCATTATTTTATAGTGTATCGCGCAAGGGATTACCGCACGAGATCTCAACCCTTGGACTGGGTGTCGGAGAGCCCATAGGGGCTCCCAATCGGGACCGTTGCCCGTGTGAGTAACCCTCTAATCAGCGGTGAGATGGATTCTGTTCAATGGATAATTTTTCAGATTAGATCTACGGATTCTTTTTCTTTGCAAGAAGATATACGGTTACGATTTAATAGAGCTAGATGGCCCATTTATATATTTTCCACGTTTAAAATTGGGGACAGAAAAAAAAGTACTAACCTTCAAAATTAAAGAGTGCCCATTATTTTATGATGCTATAACAAATATATAATTTGAAAATAACATAAAATTATAATGAACTTTCTTGCAAAAAAAAATTATAATACTCCCTCTTATTTTCGATTAAAAAATTTGTTGAAGGTCAAATCCAATATTAAATATAAATTCCCATTTTATGTTATCTTCAAATTTTATAGGTGTTTTTTCCAAAAAAAATAAATTGTGCATATTAAGAAGGTTCTCATTGTGTGACAAATTTAATATATATGATTAGATATCTTAATTTAGAAAAATTAAAATATATTTATTATAAATAACAAATCTAACTTTTTTTCTTAATATTATGTAACTCTGTGTATCAGAGATGCCCGTTTGGGTCGCACAATGAGTGAGAATATAATGAGATATAATGGTTAGGAATATAATGTAATGATAATTACAAAGAAATTGTTTGGTACAACATTAAGAACGGTAAAATTAAATTTATTATTTATATTTAATTAAAAAGAAACAAAGTTGAAAGGACAAAATGACCTTAAATAAAATCATTTATCCATGGCAGAAATAGGCATCTTCATCCCATTATCCCGCACCAACAAAGAAAATGCAGTCATGCGTGCCTTCCCTTTTTCATTCTTTAATTTCCCTTCACGCCTTCATTGAACCGCAGCAGGCAGCCTGCCAAATTCCTTTTATTCTTCTCCTCCCTTGCCAAATTCCTTTTATTCTTCTCCTCCCCTGTGAAGTCTGCTACTTCAGCTTAAGCGAATACTGCATCCGATCCTCAATATAAAACATTATTTGATTTTTATTTTGATTCTAAATATAAGATTCTAATTTACTTTGTCTCTCACATTTATACATTTTTTCCAAAGTAGTCATTATGATATAATAGTTCTAGTCAATATACTTGATTAGCAAGGATATTTTAAAAAAAATAACACCTATTTAGGACAAATAACTAGCTCAACTTACTTCTTTAATCTTCTCAAATTAATCAACTAGCTCTTATAATTAAAATCAGGAGTAATGATGAAGTTTCTGAGTCAATTGGTCATATTTCTAAATCAATTTTTTCATGAGTTTTCAGCTATTTGCACTTTCAATTTCTGAAATCACAAATAGAGCCAAATTGATTTTTATAAATAAAGAGAGATATTTGCCTCTTAATATGCAGCTTCCTACTGCTCTTTTGATTTCTAAACGTTTTGTCAGTGATAGATTTTATGGTTCTTAAAAATTCATGATTTTATGGTTATCAACTTATAAATCAAGTGACTATCAACACATAAATGGGGAATTGAAGACCAGTGAGGTGCCCAGTTCATTAGTAAGGCAAATAATGAATTTTTATTAGCTCTCACGTGTTGTAATCCTCATTTTTCATTTTTAGAAGTGTAGTCCTTGTTTTCTTATATGATGCAACCCTGATGCTAAATAAACCAACCAAACGCTTGGAAGAGGATATTATATCTAGATTATAGGGAATCCAAATACAATTTATCGAACCAGACGAAACAAATAATAAATTATACTGTTCACTCGTGGGTGGGCATGACATGGCTTACCTCAAGTTCTACATAAAACGTGAAACATTGCGTGTTTTGGAAAGCCCGGTATTTCTGTTGATAGAACAAAAGAGAAACAAAAAGAAAATCCGGCAAGCAAATTAAAAAATGAAAAAAAAAAAAGTATTATACCCTTTGTCCGACAAAACTCGTTTTTATATGGCTACCTCGCATAACATAAAATTATTTAAAATAAACTAATATAAACATTAATAATGTGGAAATCTTGTTTATCAACAAAACCTGCAACATCTTTGTTAGTTTGTCAAGTACGCATTTTGAATACCATTTTGACCCTTTTCCCTCAAACGAAGCAGTTATAGTCTCGTTTCACTGACTGTGGTAATTAGGAAAACCTCGCAGCCTGGACTTTTCATTTCACTGTGTCCAAGACCAGCACGATATCGGGTCAAACTAACTGTCTCCACTTGCATATCCAGTTCCAACTTCTGAATCTAGCCTTCTGTGGGAAAACTTTGAAACTTAATCAATAGGAAGGAGCCTCCTGCAGCAGCAACAACTTTGAAGGACGTGTTGTGCTTGCTTTTTCTTGTTCTGTTTCCATAAAAAGTATTAATTCAGCTTTTTATTATAAGTTCTGTTCTTATTCTATTACTGCAGTTTGAACTTTTATTTTTATTTAGGGTTAATACAATTTTTTATCATTCAAGTTTCTTCTTATTTTGATTTTGGATCATGAAGTTTCAAATCATATATTTTGATTCCTTAAATTTCTTTCCATTTGAAACACTGATCATAATAATTCAATAAAAATTTTGATTATTTTGCCTCAGAGCGACAAAAACTTATGGTTTGAAACTCGAGGGACCAAAACTAAAATAAGAATAAATCTGGGAGACTAAATACTATCTCCGGTCCTTAATATAAAACCCTGTTTGACTTTTATTTTTGTCCTAAATATAAGATCCTAATCCACTTTGTCTCTCATATTTGTATATTTTTTTTCAAAGTAGCTCTTCTAACAATGATAGTTTTAGTCAATATATTTGATTAGCAGGGATATTTTAGAAAAGACAATACCTATTTAGGATAAATAACTAACTCAACTTACTTCCCTGATCTCCTCAAATTAGTCAACTGGCTCTTATAATTAGGACCAGAAGTAGTATTATATTAACCATTTTATTTAAAATCATTGTGCCTTTTGTTCTAAATCTTGTTTTATTTGTTGATTGTTGATAGAGTACCTGACTATCAGATGCAATTCAAAATTCGAAATTATTAGTTACGTGTACAAGAAGGCACGAGGCACCACCATGACGAAGTCGATAAACTCGTGTCGCATTGAGGCGTCGTTTATATCTCGAAGGTAAACGACATGAGATTATTCGAGCTTTCCATTTTGCAAGCATTCCGATTGTTGCTGCGCAAAAATCCTCACGGGGTGTGTGGGTTAACTCCGACATGAGCGCATCCGTATTCTTAAAAAAAAAAAAAAAAACTAACTACACACTGCAGAGTGCATCAATAACGGTTTAATTTACCTAATAATTATATTATTATTACTTAACATTAAAATATATAATACACTACCTCCCGTCCTAATTATAAAACCCTATTTGTAATCTATGAATAAGATCTTATAATTAGGATTAGAGGTTTTATGATTAAAACTAGATGATATAATAAAATAATAACGCGATGATAATTTCTTTAAAGTAATTTTATATTCGTATTATACCAGGCATTACTTGCATTACTTACTCCCTCGTCGTTTAATATAAAGAGAGGGGACGGAATAGTACCTCGGGAATCTTCTAATAGTGGAATTGGTCAGATTTTCTTTTTTAGTTACACGTATTCTCTTGGAGACAATCAAATTTTCTCAAAATATAAGCAATCATTAAAATTAGATTGGTCTCAAAACCAACCTTTTTTTTTTTTTAACATTTACTGGTCGAATCCAAAAACCAAAAAATGGGCAACCCAACCCCCTTGTTTTGGATTAATTTTGCTGTTTTTGATAGCCGGTCGCTCTTTTTGGTTCCATGAACCATTAATTCTTAAAAAGAACTCCTCACCGGATTCCCGTCACTGGGGTAACGACTAACGAGCACTAATATTTTAATTTGTACTTTATTTAAATTAAATATTATTTTTTAAGGAAAATGAATTTCAAAATTTCCGACTGCTTTTATAAAAGCATTGACTATTCTTATAAAATTTTTTACATGATAGTATCACCTATTTGTTATTTTGAAATTTAAGTGATACTTTTGGGTTATTTCCCTGCCTTTTAATTGTTAATTTTTTTAAAAAAATTTATTTAAAAATGACACGTTCAACTTTTAAATTTTAAAATTATATCCATGAATGATTTTCATATTTTTAATCTGAATAAAATTAAGACCAATTGAAAAACGTGGTCCAGTTAGCACTTGGACACATGATCAGCCCAAAAAATATTGTACTGGAAATATGCAAATAGTCATGCAGGTTTCACCACATATGTATATTATACGCAGTCTAATAAACAGGCTATCTGTTTATCGATGTATTTTATTATGTACTAGTATATTGATGTGTTAATAAATAACAGCTTCAGGTCAAAATTATACATAAGTTTTTTTTTTTTTTAATGCCACGACGTATACTGACTAATGAGAGACGGCAATGAGTTCTTATCGTAATGGTTTTATAAAGGCGGTGGACATCTTGCATGTTTCACTCCGCTTCAGATTTGGGGTCATGATTCGGCTAAGGATTATTATTCAGCTCAACGTAAGAACTCCCCCCATGCCTGGGACTCTCGTCACAGATATGTTATCGTAGAGTCTGATTGTTTGGAGGTGGTAGAGATACTGAATAATCGAACTGAGGTGGAAGGCCAACATGAAGACCTGTTCAGGGAATTCAGAAACGTCTTGGATCGAGAATGGAAAGTTCATATTAGATGATGCAGAAGAGAGGCAACTGCCGCTGCAGATTTGTACGCAAAAGAGGGTTTAAGCATATATAGCTCCCGGAGATCACCATTTCTCTACTGTTCCACCGTTTATCTCAGATTGCGTCTCTGCTGATGCTCTGCACTGCCCTAGTTACTGCCTAGCGCGTCTGACTGTTTTCTTTTGCTTACCAAAAAAAAAAAACAACAACGCTATAAATCACGAGTCAACTTTTGACGCGTTTCTCAGCGCAGTACTTATATGTCAGCTTTCCAGTTTTAGTGCAAGACGCGTTGGGCTGCCGGGGCATAGTTACTTCGAGGTTCGCCCGACACAATGCTCACTTCTCATGTAACATCAAATCAAATTTAATTAAGCTGTAGTGGCGTTCGTGATTTATAAATTTTTTTTTAGTTACTGATATTTTTGAGACAATTCTAATCGAAATACTCTCAAGTTGATTTGCTCAAACTTTAGTTCATACGTGATGAAAAATTAGCCCTTTGTGATGTTTGTGATTTATAAATACATACTCTTCCCATCCTTAATATAAGATTTGATAGTTAAATTGATTTGGATCCTAAATATAAGATATATTTCTCATATTTATTAATTTTTTAAAATTACTCTTATGGATACTCCATCAACCATAATTAAATAGAAGAGGAAGGGAGGATATTAAGGAAAATGATTATAATATTTTAGAAAAAATGTCACATTTATTATAATTAACTTACTTATCTAACTTTTTTAATCTAATCAAATTAGTTAAATAGATCTTATATTAAGGGTCGGAGAAGTATATTATTAAAATTATGACAAAGTCATTCGATTGGCGAAGTGAATGCTGGTGGAGCTCTTTCTCGGCCCATGATTAGAACGTGAACTCATCGCACAATATTTTAGAACGTACGAGTTGGGTCGTTCATCACTGTCTTTTTCTTGCTGGCAGGATGATAAGAGAGATTTTGTATTTTAAAGGACACTTCACGAACCATGAAGACCAAGGAGTATGAACAGCACACTTTCAGCATATCACGTCTTTAATAATGCTGATAGCGATGTTCATTTTTCCTCCTTTGTTCTTACTTTAGGTGTGATTTCATGACAACCAAAAATAAAGCGAAAGGCGTACTGGCCCATCCCCCCCACCCCTCTCTTTAATTTAAAGCGCACTTCTCATTACTTAATAACCAAGAAAATAAGATCTCACCACCTTCCAGAGAGAAGGCGCCAACACAAAAAGGCGTACGTTTTCCTGAACTATTCAATGATCTTCATTATTCATCACCCGCACCTTAATACACTATAATCTGTCAAATCCAACTTACAAAACATGACAGTTCACTTTCTTTTTACAAGTGGCTCGAAGAAGATCTGCCAATTGGAAACTGTAAGATTTTGTGTTTTGATCTAGAATTACACAAAAAGGCTCTAAAGTATACTCATATGATATGTTGAGAAGTAGAATATGCACAGTGAAACTCAGCGTCAGTACTTGGTGCTTCTTTTCTTGAACACTGACTTGACAAATAACAAACAGGCAATTAAGAAGCCCACAGCTGCAAAACCTCCCACTGCGAGAGCCACTGTCTTCTGTGTGTGTTGTTGTCCCGTCCCTGATCCTATCAAACACAAGAATATAAGCATCACCCGCAATTGGGAGTAATATCAACCCAATAGATTCAAACTCTCCTCATTTTCCCAGTATTTAAATTATTGAGACAAATGCGAGTTAACATATGCGTCAGTATAATAACAGTTAATATTCATATTTTGATTTACCAGACGAATAAGATGATCTGCTTGGGACTCCATTGGGGTAAAAGCTGTAACTGATAAAGCATCTGTGCAGATAAATTTGGGCAGAAATGGAGTTGCCACACTGAACTCTGGCTTGATCCTCTGCACTTTTCACACAATCTCCACAATCGGAACTAGCTAAATCGCCCTCACACTGCCCCAATACATACAAGGACTGGTAGCTTCCTGTGTAAAACAGGTTCGAACCACTTTTCACTCCACTTTCCACCATACCAAACGCTGCTTCCCTCCTCTGCTCTAACCCATCTCCCTTCGCCTTCTTTCCACAAACCTTGTAAAGCAATTGAGTCTCAGGGATTTGTTTGAAGCCAACAATCTCGTACCTCATACTACACCCAACAAGCTGGATCCTAGCTGCTGCCACTTTCCCACATAGCTTGTCGAGCAAGTCTGGAATCTTGCTGACACAGTTGTAGCAATCGGAGTTTGTGAGATCTCCTCTGCATTGGTACAGACCCATGATTGCGTTCTGGTTATCACCGGATGTTGTAGAGGAGAAAGGCTTTTGCCCAGATTGGCCTACCAGGGAAGTCATGAGAGCTTGGAGGTTCTGCGAGTAAATCCCCGATGGGTCTTGAAGTTTTTGTTCTGCACATCCCTTGTACACCAAGTTTGTGTTATCCGCAGCCGAAGTGAGATAAAGAAGGAGGAGCAGGAAAACACTGCTGAGAAGAGGAGAGGGGAGAGGACAACATATTCTGATCATACCCATTTGGGAATTTGAGGGGGAAAACGAAAAAGTTGTGTTAGTCCATGGGTTTTGGGAGAGGCTCGATTGTTTGGGAGCTTCTCAGGCTCTGTTACTGGCCATTTTGGGGGGCGTCACTGGAGTTTTTTTGGGCCTTTTGATAGTGCTTTACCTTCCCCAATTCGGATGTGCAAGTGGTTGCTTTATATACTTCTAGGCCGCACAATAATTCATTTTTCCAGAGTTTTTAATTTAATGCGTAAGGCAATAATGAATGTCAACATATGCTAAATGAAAATATAACGGAATCAGTTTCGGTGCTCATCCATTTAATGAGCACCATAAGCTAATCAGATTTGAACTGTCCATATCTTATTTGGGTAGTTTAGATTTGATTTTTTTAATTTTTATTTATTCAAAATAATTATTTTAATATGTATAAAATCTAAAACAGTAATGATCTCTTAACTATCATTCTTTCAAAAAATAGTTTTTTCTATTTAAAAATAATTAATTAAAGATTTTAAATCCGGACCATTCAAATGAGATATAGACTGTTCAGATTTGATGAGCTTATAGTACTCATCAAAGAGATGAGTACTGAAACTGGTTCCAAATATAATGGACTTTTGTTCTGGTATTAAAATAAATGAATCAATATATATTTTTGTGTGCGCGCGTCTCCCCCCCTCCTTTTCCGTTTCCTCCTCAGAGGGTATTCTCATTTTTTTTTGTTATACTTTGATTTGATAAACAGTACCCACCACCAAGAGGGAGTGTAAGAGCGGAGGCTAGCTCGCAACGCCGCGTGGAAAAAAGCCGTCAAACTTTCAACATGTAGCTACAACTTAACTTGCTTGTTGTTTTAGGGTCCGTTTGGGCCCCAAACGTGCGTCCCAATCTGACTTTTGGGGTGGCTGTGATTTTGGGTGTTTGGATCTGCGATTATCTTATCTGACTTGTGAGGCTTAAATGGGCTTCTGAGAGAAGCTCATACAAGGAGCTTTTTTTTCGGATGCGCAGCTGAGGTTGAGAAACCGTTGGAGTGTATTAATTTTTTTACCTAACTGACCCTCTGCATGTTTTTTCTCTCACTTCACTTCAGCTCAAAGACAAAAAAAAAGATGCACGCACGCACTCAGAAGGCACAAGACGCTCTGAAGCTAAAAACTCCTCCCGACGTCTGCTGCCATATCCCCGTCGTGCGCCCGCCGTCTCCCGCTGTCTCAACAGTTCGGGTTCTTGTGTGGTCGGTCGTTCAATTCTTCCAACGTCTCATCAGTTCTTTCCTCTGTTCGTTCAGTTCTTCCAGCGTCGCCGTCTGTTGTCGTCGCCGTCTCCCGCCGCACGTGCTTCAACTACACGAGAAACAGGGAAATCAACCGTTTAGACTTCTCACATCGCAGCAAAATCATGCAAGCCGTAAAAACAGTCCCCACAACCAGCAATCCATCGTCCCATGAAGCTCATTCATGTCGTCCTCCTTACCTTTCCCCACTCTCTGACTCTAAAAGTATCAGATTTTCTTCGGTTCAATCCTAACCCAAATAGCACCCAGCGAAGAAAACAAAGATGCATGGAGGAAGACTTGAGGGACTCACCTTGGTCGGAAATCACAACTGCATGCAACATTATCCTCTTTCGATCACTCCTCCGACGTCAAATCCTCTGATTCTTAGTGCTCTCTCGTTGCAGGTGAGAAATGAAAGGAAGAGTGATCTAATGCTTGAAAGAATGGAAGTGGCACGTGCGGCGTCCGGTGAGGTGGCAAAATGACCAGCCTGCCCTTTTATTCTTATCTTGCTTTCTACTCATCCCTTTATCTATTTTTTGAAATTGTAAAATGAATTAAAAATAAATTCTTAATGTTTTATATGGATTTTCTTTCTCCATTAATTTTTTTGGCCCATAAAATAACTCCCGTAAAATTTTTGACTCAAAAATTAACCTGTAACTTTATCTATTTTTTTAAAAAAATTAACCTAATTTTTATTTTTAGAAATGTGCTATTTAATAGAATTAGATATGTGCTATTTAATAGAATTCATACCCTTTTAAATCATTTTACATTCAAACTTACTTTTACATTTATCATCCAAACAAGTTTCAGCTTCTCAAACTGACTTTTTTTTAAAACCTAATCCAAACATAAATCACATTACCCTATCTGACTTTTACTCAATTTGACTTTTGGAAAAGTCAGATTGAAAAAAAAATTACTTCTCCACCGCTAATCCAAACACACCCTTACTATTATTATGCTAACCAGTGTCTGCTTTCTGTTCCTCGCCCCTTTTTCCTTGGAAAAAAGCCTTTAAAAAAAGTTGCACTAACTGAATTTCCAACGTGGCTGACAACAGACAATTCAACACAAGCCTTATAAGCCGTTTCTAATTTAAAATATTTTACTAAAAAAAAGAAGCCCTAATATCGTTTAAAGAGGGGAGGAAAAAGAAAACACCGCAGGAGTCGAGTAATTTCAGGGTGCCGCACAGCACAGCACAGCACACCAACTCGCCAAGTGGAAAGACAAGTAGAAGTTCAAATTGCAAGCTTGACCTTGAGCGGCGCCGACTAATAGAAAGGGACTGTACACTAATTATGAAAAACAAAGGGAATATACATTATTACATTATACACTATCCGAGTTTAGCTCAATTTAGAGATAAAATTTCCCTTTACCGGCAATTTATAAACTAATACTACCTCTGGTACTTAATACCACCTCCGGTCCTTATTATAAGACCCCGTTTGACTTTTTGTTTGGTCCTAATTATAAGACCCCAACCCATTTTGTCTCTTATATTTATGCATTTTTTTCTAAGATAATCCTTCTAATAATGATAGTTCTAGCCAATATACTTAATTAGCAAGGATATTTTAAGAATGACAACACTTATTTATTACAAATAACTAACTTAACTTACTTCCTTAATCTCCTCATATAAGTCAATTGGGTCTTATAATTAGGACCGGAGGTAGTATAATACTACCTCTGATCCTAATTATAAGAGCCAGTTGACTAATTTGAATAGATTAATGAAGTAAGTTGAGTTAGTTATTTGTTCTAAACAGGTGTTGTCTTTCCTAAAATATCCTTGCTAATCAGGTGTATTGATTAGAGCTATCATTGTTAAAAGGGCTACTTTAGAAAAAAATGTATAAATATAAGAGACAAAGTGGAATGAGATCTTATATTTAGGACCAAAATAAAAGTCAAATAATGTCTTATATTAAGGACCAGAGGTAGCACCTCGTTTGACTTTTATTTTGGTCCTAATTATAAGACCCCAATCCACTTTGTCTCTCATATTTATGTATTTTTCTCAAGGTAGTCCCTCTAATAATAGCAATTCTAGCCAATAAACTTGATTAGTGATGATAGTTTAGAAAAGACAATATATATTTATTACAAATAATTAACTTAAATTTTTTCCTTGATTTCCTCAAATTAGTCAACTAGCTCTTATAATTAGGACCGGAGGCAGTAATAATAATACTATATCTGATCCTTAATATAAGAATTAGTAAACTAATTTGAGTAGATTAAGAAAACTAATTAAGTTAGTTATTTGTAATAAGCATATGTTATTTTTTCTAAAATATTTTTTTAATTAAGTGGGCTATAACTATTATTATTATAAAAACTACCTTAAGAAAAATGAATAAATACGATAAACAAAATAGATTAGAGTTTTGTATTTATAACAAAAATAAAAATCAAATAAACTCTTATAAGTTAATAATAACAAACATTTAGTAACAAACATTTAGATGAGGTCTCGCACATTCAAACTGTACAACTTTTGTAAATTTAACATTTGACATTAATATGATTAAGATACGACAATTATAAAACAGTATTCCATTCGGTCTTAATTAATGTCTTATAATTAGAACTGGAACTAATAGTAAATATAGAAATATTGTCGTGTTAATACTACAATATTCCTCTATTTACCATGGTTTTCCGTTCGAATGCTCCGTTCTCCTCCTTTCGTCAGGTGACTAGTGGATAAACGTTGGGAGAACAGAACGCTAACTGATAAAGGGATAATAAGAAAAAACTGGGTCAGAATGAAAAACTACATTGAGAACAAAATGGGCTTACACGGAGAAACCCAATGAGCCCATTACAGTGTACATGGGCCCAACGCGGATCAGAGTGTTAATGATTCACGGGCCCATTAACTTGCCCTTAAACCCTAGTATATGAACAACAAAAGAGCCGCGATTCTCTTGGCAGTGAGGAAAGCGGGAAGAGACCAGTGATCGAAGATGTCGAAGAGAGGTATGGCAGTTTGTGACGAGCTGGCTTGCCTCGAATTCATGGATTGCTTGTTTCTTTTTCTACTAATTGTTGGGTTAATTTGATCAGGTCGCGGTGGTTCGGCCGGAAACAAGTTCCGGATGTCACTGGGTCTACCGGTGGCGGCGACAGTGAACTGCGCCGATAATACTGGGGCTAAGAATCTGTACATCATTTCGGTGAAGGGGATCAAGGGTCGCCTTAACCGTTTGCCGTCTGCTTGCGTCGGGGACATGGTCATGGCGACCGTGAAGAAAGGGAAGCCCGATCTCCGGAAGAAGGTCTTGCCCGCCGTGATCGTACGCCAGCGCAAGCCGTGGCGCAGAAAGGATGGTGTTTACATGTACTTTGAAGGTTATTCCCTCACTCTTGATCATGAAATGCAATTACGTATCTGTTTGTTTCGTTTGGTTGAATATTCTTCTTTACTCTCTTTATTTCTTCATTATTTATCATTTATTTTAGTCTTTGTTTATTGAATTACGATTGAGCTGTTGTGTTCTTGTCGAACATTTGGTCAGTTTAGCTGCTTTTTCCTGTTAATCAATGCATATGAATTATCGCATATTTTACTTCATAACTTCAGATTGGGGACTGCACTTCTAGATTATTGATTTCTGGAATTTCTAAACCCTGCTTGGACGTTATGTTTTATGACGCTGGCTTACACCGGCTAATCATCGTATCATGGTAGCTTCTGTTTTATTTTATTTTTTTCACTTTTGATGTAATTTAGCTTTTAAGTACTGTAAGGCCAGATATTTAGCTTCCCTTGATGCATGAGTATGAGTCAAACCCATGTCTTGTTATATCGTGTACTCTGATTAGCTTCCCTGGCCCGTACCTCCATCTTGTTGACTGTTGACAGCTGTTACTCCCTGTCATTGAATGATTACTCTATCTTTTGGCTAGGATTCTTTTACAGGATGTTAATCCCTTCTTGTTCCAAGTCTAAATACTTATATAACTTGGACAATGACCGGCTGATTTTCCATTAATTGTATGACTGTTTTTATTAAAGTTCTGCTGTTGCAACAGAATCTCATTAGTCATTTCGTCTGTTATATCATTGCATTCTTATAATCAAGTGAATGATGACTGAATGAACATATGATAATATGTGCTGATATTTTATGGTTAGTATCTGTTTGGCATTCAGACTCTTAATGGCCCCTCTGACGTGAGCATTTTGACTACTCACATGAAACGTTCTCGATGTTTGACATGTTTTACATTCTGCAGATAATGCTGGTGTCATTGTGAATCCCAAGGGAGAAATGAAAGGTAATATCTTGTGCTGACTGTTTATATTATCAATAAGATCCTTGTTTATGTCATCCACCCTTCTGTTATTAATTTGGATTTCACCTTTGTGAATGTAGGTTCTGCTATCACGGGTCCAATTGGTAAGGAGTGCGCAGATTTGTGGCCTAGGATTGCGAGTGCAGCCAATGCTATTGTTTGAGGGGGCACTTTTAGTTGTTGACGTTGCTGTTTGTCTGTAGGATCTGAAGTTATCTTTATTTGTTTTTGTTTATCTCGAATAGTAAGTGCTTGAGAGTTTGTATTTTCGACATTAATGATAAATGATTATGAGAATTTTGTTTTGTTAATTGTTTTTGCCTTTCCTAGTTGAAACAAAACGGAGGAATCGCAAATTACCAGTGGTTATCATTGAGCCGAAATTAGAAGTTGGCAGACCTTGATGATTGGTTCACGCAAACATCCACAGTTTGTTTTCATTTGTGCAAGGACTGGGTTATACTCCAACCCGACCAGTCTGAAATAATACCAGGATAGAAAAATCGACCCTTAGTTTGACTCGAAGATATCTGATCCTTATTCCGACGAGATGAGGTAGGGTTGGTCTTAATTTGAAAAATGGCTGGCCAAGATTGTTTTTCTAAAAATAAAAAATCACAATAGCTCAGCTCCAATAATAACTTTGACCTAAACCTGCCCTTCCTCTTTTGCAATTAGGGGTTAGCGTCCTCTCTTCTTTCTCCTGGTGACAATGAGCCAAGGCAAGATTCGAGATTATAAAGAAGGTAATAAGGGCGTGCCTCGTGGTCAATGGACATATTGAAATCAAAAAGTCTTTTTCCCACCTAAGCATCTCCTCTCTCTTTTTTTTTTCTTAAAATGAGACTTGGCTTTTAAGATGAGGCCGGCAAACAAAATCAATTTGAGAAGCAGAATAATAGAAGAAGTAAAAGGAAGCTGACAGATTTGGTAAGTTTCTGACTTCACTCTTAATCTTTCCTTTTGAATTTAGCAAATCCAGTAAATCTGGAGCTGAGTCGAGGTTTTGTGGGCAAGGTGGGTTAGAACGTGATGGTCTGATGGAGACGGAGAAGTTAGATCAGATGAGGAAGAGACAAGGGTTAAGGAGTTGAAATTTTTTTATTTAAAAAAAAATATACGCATCCGGTTAGATCAGACCATTTGATCCGAAGGGCTTGCTTGAAATTTAGGAGGTGTTTGGATGAAACCAAACAATGGTTTGGAGAATAGCTTCTGGAAAAAATAGATTTTGTGAAGAATAAATTTTGTGAAAAAGTGATTCTGAGAAGTGAGAGTGTTTGGATAGTTGTTATTAGAAGCACTTTTTATATGTATAAATCATTAAAAAAAGCATAAGTTAATATGATAATTACATAAAACACAGATTGTATGATATATTTTAATTTGAAGGAATAAAATTGTTAATAATATATTTTTTACCAACATAATTAATAATACATAAGATAATGTAATTAATAAATAATTAATATGTGTATATTTATTTATAAGATATAAGATTAAATATGTTTAAAAAAATTAATTAAGGGGTGTTAAAATCATATGATCATTGAGATTTACTCTAATAGGCACAATCATATTCTCCAATTTGAACCAGACGCAGAATGGATTCACTTCTTCTGAAACCATGATTTTGACCCAAACCATGGTTTCAGATAATTTATACCTGTTTGGGTTTTTTTTTTTTTTCTAAATCATGACTTGGCCTGCTATCCAAACAAGACTTTAGTCTGACTCGACTCGATAACCAACCTAGTTTAGTCCCGTCCGTCTTTTGTTTGGGTTGCTTCTTTTTAGGTTGGACTGGATCAACTTTCTTCAGATTGGATCGAGTTTGCTATACTAGGTTTTTTTTTAAAACATCCCGAGTTTTCAATAATCAGGTCATTTGGGGATTTTAGGAATATGTCACACTAGCCCATGTACGGCTTTCAGAGATGGTCGATTGTTTGGGTGTTCGTTCTTGGAATGAAATCATTTGGGGTTGCTTAGGCTTTAGTGCTGGCTATTTTAGGGGCGTTTCTAGGAATATTTTGGGACCTCTTGTCCTCCCCTTGCTATGCAATTCCGCCGGGTATAAGCTCCCAAAGAGGAAAGAAGACAGTAGATGTTAGTCGCCCTCCTAATTAGAGAAAACAAAAGAGATAAGTAATGAATGGGGAAGAGAAAATACGGACAAAAAATGTCCATAAAACTGTGAAAGTGATAACAAAACTCTTTTGTGAATTACGATCAAGAGCTGTTTTTAAAGGTTCTAATTTGCATTTCCTTATATTTTGATGAAAAATCGGGGATAAATATGGCAGGTCTCGCTTCTTAGTCCTCTCTTTTTTTTCTTACTTTTATTTTTTTTTGGTCTAAAGTTCTAAACAAGGGAAAATTTTAGAACTCCTATATATATTTTTTCTCATGGTTTTTGTTTATTCTCAACTTTTTCTTCATTCACATGGGATCATTTTTTTTACCATTAGAACTTGTGATTTACTTGTTATAAAATTTATAATGAATGTGTGAGGGGAAAAAACATCAGTAAAAAATTTTATCAAAAAAAAAAACATCAGTAAAAAAACTCGAGTGGTTAGGGTACCACTGCCACACACAATATTACGCGAGGAAAGATAAAAATTCAAAATGCAAGACCCTGGGGGGTGGGCCCTAATATGAATGGCATATATATTATTCACAAATTTGAATTTTAAATTTTTACAAATTTAAAATAAAAAATAACTTCAGCTCAACACTCTACCCATGTAATGTTGCCTTGCTTTTACTAGCAAATCCGACACCTATCATACTACCTAATAATTAAGTGATATTGGTGGACTATACGGAGTCACATGATAGTAAATAAACAATAGAATTAAAACTAATTGAGCTGAAGTACATTCCAGATTTGCAATTCGATTAAAAAATGGCCATATTTAAAAACTAGTTTATAAAAATTAAGAACTGGGTCAGCATGTGCTTTGTTGAAAATAAACTGGGCTTACAAGTAAAAGCCCAACACGAGCCCATTACACTTGTGTTAAGCCCAGAATGGGCCAGACTGTAAGTGATTTACTGGCTCATTTAGTTTACCTTGCCAACGGGCCCATTTAATTTACGCTTAAACCCTAGTATACAAGGGGCAAAAGAGCCGCCATTTCCCTCGTACTTTCTCTTCACCGAGCGGAGAGCGGGAGGAAGGGGACCGGTGATCAACGATGTCGAAGAGAGGTACGGTGTCCTGTGACGGGTCAACTCGCCTGAGATACATGGACTGCTTGTTTCTTATTCTTCTAATTGTTAGGTAAATTTGATCAGGTCGCGGTGGTTCGGCTGGAAACAAGTTCCGGATGTCACTGGGTCTACCGGTGGCGGCGACAGTGAACTGCGCCGATAACACTGGAGCTAAGAATCTGTACATCATTTCGGTGAAGGGGATCAAGGGTCGCCTTAACCGTTTGCCGTCTGCTTGCGTCGGGGACATGGTCATGGCGACCGTGAAGAAAGGGAAGCCCGATCTCCGGAAAAAGGTCTTGCCCGCCGTGATCGTACGCCAGCGCAAGCCGTGGCGCAGAAAGGATGGTGTTTACATGTACTTTGAAGGTTATTCCCCACTCTTCATTACTAAATACAATGGCGTATCTGTTTGTTATATTCTGTATGGTTATGGTCGATCGAATTTCGCTTCTCATCACCTTCGTTTCTTCATTCTTCATCTTTTACTTTTGTCTTTGTATATTTGATTGCGATTTTGCCTGTGTGGTTTTTGTGGAACGTTCGGTTACTTTTGCTCCGTTTTTCCTGTTGATGAATGTATACGAACTATCACATGTTAGTGAATGAATAATCACATGTTTTATTTGATAAGTTCAGATTGCGTACTGTACTTCTAGATCATTGATTTTCAGAATTTCTAAACCCTGTCTCGAGGTTATGTTTTACGAAGGTAGCTTGCACCTGCTAGTCATTACATCATGGTAGGTTTAATTCTTTTATTTTTTAATTTGATATAATTTAGCTTCCAAGTTCTCTAAGGCCAGGCCATTTAGCTATCCTGATGCATGAGTATGAGCTCTCTTGAACTCTGATCATTGATTTCCCCCAATAAATGGGTAACCCTCCAGATTATCTTTGGAACAGATTAATTGATGGCATGCTGTGATTGCCAAGGAATATGAGTTGCAGTGAATCCCTTCATTTAGTTGACGATTGACGATGCGTTACCTAGTATTTGCGCTTGTTCAGTTGTTCCTACACACTGAACGTTTAGTTTAGTTTTTGGCCAACGTTTGCTTAGAGGATAAGAATCTTTTTCCTTTTCTAATTCTAAACACTTCGGGTGATTTTCCATTAACTATATTATATGATTGTTTTTATCAAAGTTATTCTTTGGTAATAAGAATCTCATTTACGTTCATGTGTTATATTTATTCAAGTTCGTTTTTAGTGAACAATTGTTATGTTTTACTTTCCGCAGATAACGCTGGTGTCATTGTAAATCCCAAGGGAGAAATGAAAGGTAATATGTTTTGCTAGATTGTTGATATTTTCGACAAGATCCTTAATTATGTCTTGCACCTCTCGGTTATTAATTTTGATTTCACCTTTGTAAATGTAGGTTCTGCTATCACCGGTCCTATTGGTAAGGAATGCGCAGATTTGTGGCCCAGGATTGCAAGTGCAGCCAACGCAATTGTTTGAGAGGGATTTGTAGGATCTGAACTGAAATTATCAGAGTTTTGTTTACCTTGAATAGTACTCCAGATGCCTGAGTTTGTATTTCTGACATTTATGTGAATCATTTTAAGGATTTTTTTTAAATGTTTTTTTTTCTTTTCTCCGTTGAAAAGTGGGAACCACAAAATGCCAGATTTTACTATATGTTCAATATAATGAGCCGAAATAGAAGTAGAGACCTGACTAACATGCGAGATTCACCTCGATAGCTTCATTGACCTCACTGTTCATAATCCTTAATCTCTATGATCGACTATATGTTCAGTGTAATGGGCCGAAATAGAAGTAGAGACCTGACTAAAATGCCAGATTTACCTTGATAGATTCATTGACATCACTGTTCATAATCCTTAATCTCTATGATGGACTTTTCGGAAAGGGCAAACCGGACCAAAATGATTTGTAAAGACCCTATCGTGCGTAAGAGCCGTTAAAGGAGAGCGACGCAGTTGATCTGGACTAGCCTGGGGCAAAAAGAAAAGCAAGTATAGATCGAAATACAAGGTTCAAGTTGCCTCGGGTATAAAATTTTGTTTGAGGAAAAATGGAGCAGGATTTGTTCTAAGTTTTTGTTCAAGGTTAATGTGTAAGTTTGTCCTGAATTATCACAAGAGGCGCAATCGGTATAGCTAATTTGACGCGACAACTCATGATTTCAATAGTGTGTGGCAGTGATTTAATTTACATCATTTCAAATTTTGTAAAAGAAAAAGTGCCTTTGCCTGCTTCTTTGATTCCGCCTATTCGAACTTGCATTTTGATGTTTAGTGCAGCGCACGCAAGCCACAAGTCTACAAGGCTTTGCCTTGCTTGTTTCTGTTCCCCAAAGTCTCTTTCGATTGCACCAGAGTTTGGAACAAGGCAACATCCGTCAGGCCACGCAAAGCAAGAAAGGCTTTCAACGACGAAAATATACAGCAAGAAATTGTGGGCTTTGCAAATGGACAGCAAGACTGTTATTGGGTAAAGACCTGGTACTGTGGAAGCCTGATGGAGCTTTACTTCATGCGCGGGAGCCAGCTAGCTAGCTTAGGTATGCAGGTCCATATATATTAGTATTTAAGTACACTCTTCTCTTTGCTACGAGTTGAGCTTTTCTTCAACACACATATCTTCCATTGCAGAAAATGGTTGGACAGAATGGCAAGTTTCGATGATTATATTCCTTGTTAAGCAGTACCGATTTGGTTTGAACAAGACGCAACGCATTCTCTGAAATTGCACGTACATGCCGGATTTGGTGACCTTTTTCGCTTCTAAAGGTGGCAAAGACGAAACCATGAGACAGGGAGGTTAAGATATGTTCCACTAAATATCTCCACCTCTCATTTCATTGCTTATCCAATCTCATGCATTCCTTTCATTTATTTTGTTGGCGACACGCATAACTGCCATAACTAATTCTGAAACCTCCGCATTATTGATTCTTCTTACTCTCTATTTTCCTTGCCACATAATTATCCACATATCGGAATGAAGGCCACCCACGTACTAGCACAATTTTTTTACTGCTAGACTAACCTTGATTTTTATGATTGTCTATGATCCGTCATTGACGCCTTTGGAATATTTCTAGTTAACAGTATCATTGTTTTTATTAACTATTTCCTCTTGATGGATTATGTTTACTACATAATAAATTGTCATGTCATAAAAGATATGCGGTGAAAAACTTTTTTGAAGATTTTGCTTTGCCTAGACTTTAATATCCAACCTCCTTTTTAGTCTGTCTTCAGAGCTGCAGAAGCACCGTTCTATCTGTTATGCTGCTTTTAAATCGTTAGGAACTTTGTTGGGTTCGAAGACAGATTCTTGCAAATTTTGATATAATTGCTTTCACATTATGCCCGTTATCACGTATAAACAGAGCGTACCGTCTTGATGTCGCGAGGACCTCATTCCACTAATATTCCTGATTTGAAACATCCTCAAAAAGTTGCTCAAATCTTAGAGTAAAACACAAGCAAATCACAAATGATCACACGCTAACAAATCTCTATCCAATATTGTCTCCCAAAAAAAAAAAAAAGGCTAAAACATCCCCTTTGACAACACACCACTCAATCCCTCTGTCCTTGCTGGGACCATTATCGCTGTGCAAGAGAATCACACGCACTATTCATGACAATGCTTTTCATCTACCACGGGATCCGAAGTATCATAAACACCGAAAGGCTGAGCTTTCACAGATCTATCTGAATTCTGAAGTCTTCAGCCAGAAGCACAAGAGCAGGAAATGAAGATCTCAAGGCTTTATTATAGCTTTCACAGATCAGTTCAGTTATTGAAGTTTCAGAGAAAAACCAGAGTCTGCTCCTCAGTTACACTTGGTGGTAATAATGCTCACAAGAGATCATCTTCACTTGGCTGTTTTCCTTCTTCAAGCATTCTGAGAGACATAATCTGTAAGTTGAAGAATCGATGGAAGCAAGCTTTGGGATGGCGAAGCGGTGCTTCTCAACATTATAGCTACGATCTTCGAAGTTATTGTCTTAACTTCGATGATGATCCTTCAAATCACCATATTCGCCCTCTTCCTCCTCTACCAAGATGATCTTCTCCTTTTAGATTCTCTCTCTACCGAATTATTATTACTATGAATAAGTCTTTCTGCAGGCTCTTGTTGTTCTACGCGGCAACATGATAATGTTTTGCAAATGGCATAACTGTATAAAGTGGTTTGATACAATTATTTTATATGGTGATACGTTTTTCTTATCATTTTCGTTGTTGGTTTCTGAGGGTGGAATATGGAAATCTGTAACACAGAAAAACTATCCAATCTCACTGCTTCATTCTCTATTTTTTTTCCCCTTTTGGGTTGCTTTTCTGGGTTCCTCCACTGTAGTTTCTTGTGATTCTTCTGCTGACTATCTGGGAATCCAAAGATTTAAAGGTTGATGCATTAGATAATTTGAAGTGATATGACCTAAACATCTTTTTTCACACAGCATATTGCTTTATAAATCGAAAGTTTCGGTTATGTCTAAGACCAGGAAGGACGCCATATCTTCTCTTCTCTGTTAAAGTACGTATTCGTATAATTTTGTTTTCAGGAAAAGGAGTTGTTTATTCCGTTTTTAAATTATATTTTGAGATTAAGAACCGTTTCTGTTACAAATTAAGATACCGCAAACTTGTACACGCTTTTTGTTTCCAATCGACCGATAAAAGTACAAATTGTCCGCCATGTTGTTAATAGTGCTTATTAAATTATTATTATTATTTGTTGCAGCAGGATCTAAATACTAAACTTCTTCACATGTGGTCTTGTACTTTCAGCCTGAAATAGCTGTGTATTAAATTATTTGTCAAACAGAAATTACTTCTCTTGTACGGGGTTTTTAGATGGAAACCAAATCATTGTTTTAAAAGTGCTTTTACGGTATATGAGGTAAATATGTGAAGTAGTTTGTTTTGTTTTGCAGAAAAATACTTCTCAAAATGCTTTTGAGAAGTATTTTTGGGTGCTTTCAAACACCCCTGTAAACGCTTGAAGCCATAAACTGTTTAAAGATAATTAAGTTGTAATGTTTATTCTTCAACTACCATGAAGGGACTCTCTCTCTCTTCTTCTTTTTTTTTTGAATTTTTTTTTACCTACATGAGATTAAAGAGGCTATATAGTGGGAAGAGGGAAAAAAGAATGAAAATTAAATTAAATTTATTTTTTAGAAATTAAAACCTCGATCTGGTGACCGATCTAATTGGTAATTATTGAGGGAGGGAGGCGCCTAAATCAAATTCATAGACGGGCAATGATTTTAGGAGGCAACCGTTGCAAGGGGGGAAAAAAACAGAGAAAAAAAAAAGAAGAGTGCGTGTCCTGTGGCACTGATTAAGGCCCTACATTATAAATTACTAATAAATTCCATTAACCTAACTGATGATGTTTAGGGTACGACGATTCCTGTCGGATCAATAATTTCTCTCACTAATTATCTCCACCTTCATGCATCATACAGACTGAAATTATTCATGTTAATCTTAAATTCTTTAATTCTTAATCCACATGGACGATATACGGATCTGACAACTGTTAAGTGAATAAATTTACACCTCTTTGGCACAATGGCCGAGTTTGTGGAGCGGCGCAGCATTGTGGGGTGGGGAAGAGGATCATGACTTCATCAGGGGGCGTCCAGCCTCCAGAGGTACTGTGAGAGCCGGAGGATCAGCGTTGAATTATCTCAGGAGCGAGCGGATCATGTCCGCATGTACGCGACGACGTCGTTTCAGCCATAGGACATGTCCGACCGCGAAACGGCAGAGCAGCTTGGAGATTGACGACACTCTCTTGTCCGCCATCCCTTCGTTGTTATTTTAAGATTCATTCATTCATGGGATTCTGGGTTTTGATGACATCCCCACCTTTTTGTTTCTGTTTTTATTATTATGACTAGAAATACAAGCGTCTGCCACATTTGCTTCTGCGTGGTGATATCACGGTAGCTGCTCTGATGGAGTACAGCTAATATATTATTATCTTTGTTTTTTATAATATAAAAACTAATTAATTAATTTAAATAGATTAAAAAAATTTGTTAAATTAATTACTTCTAATAAATAAGTGTTTTCTTTTCTGTTATATTCTTACTAATTATATGTATTAGCTAGATACCATTTGATGAAACATCTAATATGTGTAATTACTACATTAAAAAAATAGATAAATATGAAAGACAAAATAGATTGGAGTCTTGTATTTATGACCAAATTAAAAGTTAAACTAGCTCTTATATTAAAAATCAGTGGTAGTATATAATATACTACCTCTGGTCTTTAATATAAAACATCGTTGGACTTTTATTTTGGTCCTAAATATAAGACCCCAATCTACTTTCTCTTTCATATTTATATATTTTTTCCAAAGTAGTCCTAATAATGATAATTTTAGCCAATACATTTGATTCATAAAGATATTTTAGAAAAAATAACACTTATTTATTACAAATAACTAACTTAACCTATTTCTTTAATCTCTTCACATTAATTAACCAGCTCTTATAATTAGGACCGGAAGTAGTATATATTAACCACTAAATTAGCTTTTTAAAATCTAAACCCCATCACCTTAATTCTCTGGTGCAACTTGTATTGGGAAAATATAAAGATGTGGGTGGGTGGGATGACTGTAGGTTGGGAAGTAATTAAGCCAGAATCTCGTCTTCATACTAACTTACATTGCAATATATGCACGACGCACATATATATATGGCTATGAGTGGCAGCAAGTAATTGCGCATAATAAGAGGAGCCACAAGATGCCATGTGAAATTGAGAGGTGCAATATATTATATCTTTTTTCATTCAACTCTGCTTGCAGCAACATAGGCATGAAATAATAAATTAATAGAGTTTAAGTGCCCGTTTGCATTAGTAATTAGAAAAGTAACTTTTCTTTAATTTGATTTTTAAAGAAATTAGATTGAATAAAATTTAAACTGGGTGATATGGATTATGTTTGAATTAGATTTTATAAAAGTTAGTTTGTAAAAATGAGATTGGGTAAAAGATTGTTTGAATTATGGTTGAATAAAAGTAAGTTTGATTTGTAAAATTACCAAAATGGGTATAAGTTTTGATAAATAATGAAACATGATAAAAATATAAATTTACATAATATAATGAATTTAAATTCTCTTAATATGAAGAAGTAAAATTTAATGGCTAAAATATATTTTAAAACATTAGAAATATCATAAAAAATTATTAGAATTATAAAGTGAAACATAATTTCAATGGATAGAATATTTTTAGATTTAAATTCATTTTATTGTGACAAGGTTTAACAAATAATGAAACATGATTAAAAAAAATGAGAGAGAGAGTGAGAGAGAAATTAATAATTATCTGACACATTTTAACAGTACACTCCCACAAGCACTGTGAAAATAAAAAATAAGCTACTTGTATCAATTTTTCCAATTGTACAATTGAATCTTGCTTTTCAGTTATAAGTGGGATGAACCAAAAACCATGCCAAACAGGTCAAAAATTACAAATCGGACTTATGGTACCAATAAGCTCTTTTTGGGCTCACAAACACCCAGCCAAACAAACCCTAAGACAGCGTGCTGCAATTAAGAGAGGAGACACTAAGGGTGTGTTTGGATGAAACCAAACCATAGTTTGGAGAATAGCTTCTGGAGAATAGATTATGGAAAAAATAGATTTTGTGAAAAAGTGATTATGATAAATGAGAATGTTTGGATAGTTGTTATCAGAAGAACTTTTTATATGTACAAATTTTACTAAAAAATGTATAAGTTAATATGATAATTACATAAAAGATAGATTTTATAATATATTTTAATTTGAAAAAATAAAATTGTTAATAATATATTTTTTTACCAACATAATTAATAATATATAAAATAATATAATTAATATGTATATATTTATAAAATATAAGATTAAATATGTTTATAAAAAAATAATTGAGGAATGTTAAAATCATATTATCGTTGAGATCTACTCTACAAGTACAATCATATTCTCCCATTTGAGGCAGAAGCAGAATAAATTCACTTCTTCTGAAACTATGTTTTTGAGCTCCAAACCATGGTTTTGATCCAAAACCATGGTTTCTATTTTTTCCTGGGTGTTTGGCAAGTCTGAAACCCAAACCATGGTTTGGGTCCCAAAACCATGGTTTTCCATGTTATCCAAACAGGCGCTAAGACTCTCCCGTTAAATATGAAACACTACAAAGGCATCAGAATATTTCTGGTTTCTTCCACTAAGGGTAAGGGTAAGGCAACAATTGGTGAAATGAAAAGGGATCCATCCCATCTGGGGCATTAAAATATATATATATATGTGTGTGTGTGTGTGTTTATATAAGAACAGGTATTACAGCCTAAAGTTGTTTCCCCAATTATTTACCTTTGTTACGCTACTGCCCTACCCCCACTCTCCTATTTATAATTTTGCCCCTTTCTTTCTCTCACAAATGCCTCCCTTCCGCCAAATCTCCAATAACCTTTCCTTCTCCCTTTTAAATATTGGGGTCGGCGTCATTGCTTGCTTTCTTTGAAGCCTGAAGCTACCAATCGACATATCCCTCTGCGCTTCCCTTATTTTTTTGATGTGTGTGGGTGTGTGTGTTCGTGTCTTGTACTGCTGTCTTCTAAGGTAATTCACGGTGCATATGCTTTAGAGCCTCTCAATTTCAAACCTGAATTTAAAAAAAAAAAGAAAGAAAGAAAAAAAGAAACACAAGTTGAGAAAGCGACATCAATGACACCATAGGAATCAATGACACGCTTTTCTTGTTTTCTTGTTTTATTTTTTGCCCTGTCAACTTATAAAATAGATTGTTTATCAAGTAATAAATGAAGCCACATTTCCTTGCATTTTCGCAAAATTAAAATTGAAAAAAAAAATACATACCAGCCCGCCAGCAAAGAGTCGCGAAATGCATGTGCGTTTTACCTAGATTTAAAAAAAATTACATTTTTCCAAATTATATTTTTGTCAACCTTACACAAATTTCATGGGAAAATCCCCGAGTTAAAACAACTTCTCACGAAAATTCACTCCAAACTCATTCATTTTTTTATAGACGAGCCTATAAAATCAAAGCTGTGTGCAATATAATATGGAAGATATTCCGAATCTCGCAAGAGAATTTTCTCGTATTACAGAAACTTGCTAAAGTTGTTCTTTCGACCCCTCCCAACTTGAATTGTATTTTTCACACGGAGAATCCAGAATCACGCCAATATTAAAAAGAGGCGGGGAAGTTAAAAACCCAATCCGACCTGCCGGATTCGAACCAGCGACCTAAGGATCATCTGCCGGGATTACCCACTACAGTCCTCCGCTCTACCAACTGAGCTAAGGTCGGATTTATTGTCTGCACATCCCATTTTATATTAATAGATTATGAAATCTTCTGTTTATTCTCTTTCTATCCACGTATATTTGTCATTTGTGGATGCTGGTACTTGAAAAATTAATGGACCGAGTTTGTGTTCGTGAAAACTACCCGTGGTAAAGATGCATGAGAAGGATTAGCGTTATGGGAAACGAAAGAACATTTCTGTAATCATATGGCGGAAGCCTAACATCACCTCTGTACCGTTGGATCTATTTTCCTTCCACCAATCACCCATCTCTCTGCTCATACGTGGGGGTGGGGATGCGCCAATCCCCCTCCACGTAACCGAACCGCCAGAATCACCCACGCGCCCCACTAGAGCGTGTCTTTGAAACTATTCCTCATAATCATAATGCAAAAGACCAACAGGGTAAAGCGCACTCTTCACCGTTGTCCACTTCCCTGCCTTGCCTCGTCTTGCCGGTGACCGAATTTACAAACACCCGCCTGTTTTATCAGGAACTGCTTCCATCGTTCTCCTCCCAAATTCCTGCTTCCGATTCGATTCCTCAGCTTTTTGGTTCGATTTTTCTTAGCTTCCCGCGTACTTTTCGGGTGTGAGTATGATACACCGTTTTCTTAGTTTGCAGGACATCACCTCTTTCCTTGCTGTGAATTTGACGATACCTCGTTTGTTATTGAGAAGTACCCCTGAGGATTTTTTTCCTTCTATTTTGCGTTTTTATTCTTAATTGCGTCCATATCGCATTCGGTTACTTTCTCTGCCTTGTTATGTCTTGCTTGCTTGTTGCTGATTTCTTTTGTTGGTTGGAAGTCTGCTTTCAATTTCATTTATTTTTCTATTTGCACATCTTTACCAGTTCGCATGCCGCACGCATGGCTTGCTTGGTGACTATCACTGATGGCTATCAATAAGCAACAAATATATGATCATCAATTTAGGCATTACTTTTTATATGCTGGAATGATCCCTTACTTTTATGGCAGAGGGAGGCGAGTCAACAAAAATTTTGTTTAATGGTTGGGGCTTCGGGCGTTTTGGTTAAATGAGAACTACGGTGTGCACCGAGTAGCTTCCTCAGTCATTTGTATTTTGTCAGTACCCTTGTGTTGTGAATTAGTGATTTATTCTGACACTGAAATCGAAAGCATTGCTGGAAAGCTTAAACATCTGTTCGGGCTTGGTTATGAAATTTATGCTCTTTAGATTTGACTTATTCTCATGATGAGGTTTTCTAATTTCAGAGGCCTTATTCTTGAAAGTGACTACTTTCTTTTGGCTAGCTTTTTGTACTAAATACCACGAGTACTTTTTCAGACTGAAGATTGATGACACAGTGTCTGGTCTGGGCTTCTAGAACGAGCAATTTGCGTTGTATTGTTGCTGGTCAGCATTACCAGTTGAAGGAAAAATGCAAATTCTAGGCTTTATTGGTCGACTTGGGAACTGATAAGTTGTTTTTCCAATTAGAATTTAAGGGAAATAATGGCAGCACGCACTACTTCCTCCATTGAAAGATCAAGCACCAAGCAGCTCAATAACATCGGTTTGTCTGGACCATTGCCATCATCCTTGTCAGTTCTTCCGACTCCGATAGGAGAGACATTTGCCAAGTTTTCTGATTCTCAGCCGGCTGTCATGGCAAAAGAGCTTATGACTGGGCCTATAACTCAGCCGAGTCATTTAAATTCCAGCGGAGCAATTGGGCACATATTTTCATCTTCTCCTGGATATTCAACTGATCTTCATCACTCAGCTCTTTTGCCGCATGAAAAGCACTCAACAAATGCTCATTTCATTTCTCAGTCATCCAACATGGCTTCGTTGCCCTTTTCTTATTCTTCCAATAGTGGACCGCTTCCTTCTTCAACACCAAATAGTTATTTCAAAGAAAACGGTGCTTCCTGGAATATAGAACCCCTGTCCAACTTTCTTGATTTTCCTGTGAATACTACCATTGAGAATAGTCCAGCAGAAAACAGTGCCTCCACTGTCATGGCATCTGAGGAGTATTGTAAGCGAAATGAATGGCAAGAGTGGGCTGATCAGCTTATAAGTGAAGACGATCCTTTGACTTCTAATTGGAATGACCTTCTTACTGACAACATTCAAGATCTTGAGCCAAAGGTTAAGGTTCTTGTGACTCTATTCTATATTAGCTTGCAAAGTGATCCGATCAGTAATTTCTTGAACTAAATGTTATTGGATCTTATACTGTTTCCTTAGGTGGGATGCCAGGTTTCACATGTTCCAGGAAACCAGTCCCAAGGTCAGCAGCTACTTCCAGCTTCATCTGGAGACAATTGCTTTGGTGCTCCCCCTGCTTCATCAGGAAGTTCTGCTCCCGCCAAGCCACGGATGCGATGGACACCAGAGCTTCATGAGGCTTTTGTGGAGGCTGTCAACAAACTTGGTGGCAGTGAAAGTATTTTCATTGTCTTTCTCACTTTCTGCGCATTCCTCTGCTTGTTTATGGAAGCTTTGCCTCATTTCTCTATTCTCACTGCTTTTCATTTTACAGGAGCTACCCCTAAGGGTGTGCTGAAGCTCATGAAAGTTGAAGGATTAACGATATATCATGTTAAAAGTCACTTGCAGGTTTGTGTTCCTGCACTTAATGTCTAGATTTGTTTGCTGCCATTTTTTTTTTACCGAAACAGATATTGCTCCATGAAATGCAGAAATACAGGACTGCTAGATATAGACCGGAACCATCTGAAGGTAAATAAGATATGAATTGTTGTATCTGTACCGATGCAAGTACCGGTATCCATTGGCATTGATGTAATCCTATATCAATCTAACAAATATGAGACTTGAATCTTTTTTCCCCCCTTCATCAAGTGCCTTGAATATCATGTCTGAATTAGTTTATTTTAAGTCTATTCCGGTAAATATGAGACGTGCTCCTGCATTCTGTCAGCTAATAAATATTGTTGGCAGGATCCTCAGAGAAACGACTGACCATTGAGGACATGCCTCCTCTAGACCTGAAAACGTAAGTAAACTACCTCAGATGACTTTTGTTGGGTAGCATTTCTATCAATGCTGCATTTTCTCTGATGTGAAGTTACTTATGAGCTGGTTTTAACTCTGGGGAATGGTGATTGGCTTGTATTGAATGTGCATTACAGTGTCATATTTGTATTAACTTATCTTGCCATGAGATAGTTGGCTGCCGATCTCCAAATTAATCTAAAGATATATTAAAAATTGGAATGATGAGCTACCGGTCTCTGTCTTGAGAGAGTCCAAATTATACCTATGCGGTTTTTTCCTCTGTTTTGAAAAGTTATACTCCCCTTCTTAGATGCTAAAAAATGTGCTATAATAGCTACCCTTGTAACAAAATATGAGTTATGATTGCACCCGATTTAACCAAAACGCCCTTATATGGAGCAAGCCTTAGATGTGTACTCTATTTAACAAAAATAGTAATTTATTCTGGAGGCCGATACCAGTAATACCTTACAGAATTGGGGCATGTAAGTTCTATGCAATTTTAGCATGTAGGCCTGTTTCTTCTTATGGGCTATGGCAGTGATTATAGGTAACCCAAGTTAGGGGAAGGTTCAGGAATGAATACCAGGCCTAAAAAAAAATTTAAAAAGAAATAAAGAAAGATCATGTGAGCCCTACTATCAACTATGTTCTACTTCAAGACCGGAAGAGTATACTCAAGAAGAGATTTTTCAAGGATATAGATTCATTGCTCCAGGATTAAGGCCATAATAAGAGGACCAATGATTCGGTGGTTCTCACTGATATCTGTGTACACCACGACACGTTCTGACTCAACATATGGTAATGATATTGCTATTCTTACTTCATTGCTGCACTGTTGGCAGTGGTATTGAGATCACTGAAGCCCTGCGACTGCAGATGGAGGTTCAGAAGCGGCTGCATGAGCAACTTGAGGTATGAACTTGTTCTTCTTGAAATCTTGTGGTATGATCATGCAGTGACTAGGTTTATATGCTTAGTCAAATTAACTGAAGGTAGTTTTGATTAAACTGACGAGAACTTTTGTTTCTGCTATTACAAAAATTAATTTCTGTAATTATGTATGTCTAGCATATAGTTATGCCCACACAAGATAGGTGTGGGGTTTCTTCTTCCCCTTTATTTTTTCTCCATTTAAACATGCATTAATGTTTAGGGATTGAGATCTCAATGTCTCGTATTGTCTGAGACCTTGCCCTTCTATTTCCGAAGGTGATCGTGTATTTTTTTCCCAATGGTCTGGTGAAGATATTCCCCACTGTCTTTTTCTGTGTCAGATTCAACGAAACCTACAACTGCGAATAGAAGAACAAGGAAGGTACCTTCAGATGATGTTTGAGAAGCAATGCAAATCTGGTGCTGACAAGAAGGCATCGCCGGTATCTGCGACAGAGAAGCCATCAGGAGTGTCTTCAGACGCTATCAAAGATTGTGCTGCCAAAGGTGATGTGGAAGCCTCCCAAGTGGAGGGTGATTGCAAGTCGGGACATGATCAAGCCAATAACAGTACTGCAGTTGAGGAAAGGTCTCTGGAAGTGGGTATGAAGAATGATGGCCCTCAAAATCAAGCTTCTGATAATCCTAAGCAACAAGCCGGTGAAGAGAGTGCTCCAGCCTCGAAGAGGCAGAGAACAGACGAGTAACTGAGTAAGCCGTATGATCTCAGTGTTGAACTGACTAGACAATCCTGATTTGCAAGAGATTTAAGTTAGTAAGACTTGGCTAAATGATGGGTAGAGCTCCATGACTCATAAATTCCCTCCCTGTTGTGTTGATGAGTAATTGCGAGTCTCGTGTATTTTGCTGTCGCAAGAGGATGAGTCAGTTTTGATTATGACATTCTTCAACGCCTTTATTTCTTAGTGTAGTTTAGTTATGGGAGGATGACGATGGGATTCTTAAGTTAGCTGAGCTCTCAGCCTGTGAAGAAACATATTAGTGGAGAATGGAGCATGTTACTAATAAAATCAGTTTAAAATTATCATAATTACTTTGTTTGCCGGGTACAACTGTAGCTCTTGCAGGAAGACACGTTTGCAGGTGGCTTTGATGACGGTTAGTTTCTTCCACTTTGTTTCAATTCCACATGGTAGGGTTTGGGTTTCACTTATGTTCTTTATTGGTTGATTCCAACTATTTAGTTTAACTCGGCATAAAGCCCTCTCCTCCCGATGTTGCTTGTAGGCGAAGCAGCCATGAAGGCCGTGGGAAGGCCTTGCATTAATTTCTCAATGGAAGAGCACCCAAACACAAATAAAAGTACTAATCACTAAATATATGATATTTCGTAATTTAAATGCAACTAGACTGTAATGGTTTAAGGTAAATTATGTTGTTCATTTCTGACGAATGTATACCGATTTTTCGCGGGGTTCGTAAGTAGGGACCCTCTTTTCTGGACCGGCAAGTGGGGAGCCATGTTAAGAAAAAGACATATTAGTAATTAATAGTAAACGTTATCCTGGAAATTTTGCGAAGCTGTTTTCACAAATAAAATTTAGGCATTTAGTGTTTTGTTATAATTCTCCAAAAAGAAAAATCTATGTAGTTGAATAAAATACCTTAAATCTGAGTTTAGTCAGCTAATTTTATTATAAAAGTTGACTGAAACTGATAAATGCGGTAGCTTTGACTTACTTCCTGCAAAAGGTAAAAACTTAATAGTTAAATTAATATAATGAGCATTAATGATATATCTAATACGTAAACGTGATTTTTCAAATTTAGCAATTTGGAGACTTACTAATTGATGAGGAAAAAAATAAATGAATATAAAGACTATATGTAAACAATCATTTTTCAACATGAATTAATTTTTTGGCCAAAAAAAGAACTACTTTAAATATATTTCCAAATAAAATAGAAAATAGAGAAAAATTCCACAAAAAAAGAAAAAGAAAGGAAAGAGAGCGAGAATAATTTGCATATGGCTCTGACGGCGAGGAGTTAAGCAGATGAACTTTACTGGCAAATAATCAAAAGGATATTTAAAATGATACTCTTTCGGTCCTTAATATATGACTCAATTGTTGAGTTAGTTTTGATTCTAAATATGAGACCTATTTTTTATATTTATCAATTTTCTCTAAATTACCTCCATGGATACTCTTTCAACCATAATCAAGTAGAAGAGGGAGATAAGGTATTAAGAAAATTGATTATGGCATTTTAGAAAAAATATATCATATTTTTTATAATTAACTAACTTACCTAACTTTTTTAATCTAATCAAATTTATTAAATGGATATTATATTAAAGACCGAAGGTGTACAAATTGTCGTGTCCTTCCAAGAAACAGAAAGAAGTAATCAAAGGAAGTAATAAGATGAACGTGCTGTTGTGTTGTAACAGTTTAAGGCAAAATAGTTAAGATTAGCGGTAGATAATGCCTAATCATTACTGTGACAGCTAAAAATGGACTTGTGACAGCGATTTCTGAGTTTGACAGTAACAATTGAGAAAAGAGAACGATGACCATTAACAACAAACTAAGAGATTATTTAACGCAAACACCGTCTTAATTTCTATGTCGGAGAGGATAAGATCTGTTGATTAACTAAAATTGTGGGCTGCGTGAAAAGACATTTTTGCTGTCAGAGTTCCATGGGTTGGTTTTTCGTTTTCAAACAGATTATGCAGTGAATTAGGCAAGGAAAAGAAAGAAAGAACAGAGAAACATCGGCATCTTCGACCCTGCAATGATTCGAGACTTGGCTATTACAGCCTACTTGTGTTTTTTCCCTCTTTCTATTTACACACACGCACACAAAAATAGACAGACATATTACCTGTTAAGAAATAGTTTAACTTTTAGATTAATCCTAAATATAAAATTTCAATTTATTTTATTTTTCATATTTATTTATTTTTTTAAAGTAATCATTATAATAATTGTATATATTAAAAATTTAAATAGTAATTCTAACTAATACATATAATTAGTAAGGATATTTTAAAAAAGACAACACCTATTTATTATAAATAATTAACGTAACTAATGTTGACTTTCCCAACAGCTTCACTTTACAACACTTTACTTGGTCTTCTTATTGGTCAAAACCCTATGCAAGTAGCCTTCTCTGGTTAGAGGACTCTCAATGAGAGCACCAAAGTAGTGAGCTTAAGTCTAAGGGGAGAGTTCAATTCTAAAAAACTAGCCTATTAGAAGGGATAGTTCTTTGAATTTATAAACTCTACAACACTTGTGAGATTTCCTAATGTAGAGCTCATAACAACTAATTTATTTAATCTCTTCAAATTAATCAATTAGAGTATTATATTAAGGATTAGAGGAGTTCGTATTAACTTTCAAATATAAATAAGTTGACATCTTCACTTAATAGTGTGTAAGTAGTTGAGATATCAAAATAAGATAAACCTGTAAGCCATTTTAAAATCTTGAGACGCGCATATTTCAAAATACATATTCTTTAAAAACGGCATCTTAGCTAACGGGTCTGATTATTATTATCCGACAACGTAACAGATGAGAGAATGATTAAAGACGAAACAAGTACAGAGATCGGATGAATTAATTGCTTCCTTAATTTTAACAGTTAAGTACAAAAGAAGATATCATAAATCTCTAATTAGTGTGCCGGCACTCTTAATTAATTGCATGACATACATATTCACTACGTAAGATACATGCACATATATCAGTAGCGTGTTATATGCAAAACAAAAGGGCAAAGTTGCCGAAACGGGCATATGGAGCCATATGTACTCGTGGGAATTAACGTAATCCGATGATGATGGGAATACTTGATTATCACTCTCTCCATCTATAGAAATCTCAGAATATTTGAACATACGTTAAGAAAACGATGTTTTGTAACAACAGCAAAATGCCAACTAAAATTAAATATAAGAGCCTGAGTGATATATTGCTGAGATGAGTTACGTGGGTGCTACAAGCTAGCTAGCTATAAGCCTTCTGGGTACAGTGTGTGTGGAGAGAGAGAGAGAGTAGAGAGAAGGGTGGTGATGGAGCAAATCAAAAGCAATGGCTTAGTGATATGGCTTAAAGACATGCCAACCTCCGGGTTTGATGGAAAGTGCAAAACATTCATGCACTTACTTCTCTTATAAATTCTTCTTCTTGTTCTTCTTCTGCCACTCTTGTCTCCACAAACCATGCCTCGTCCTGTTTCTCAATTTCTCCATTTCCCTCTTCATCAGGTGAGCCCACAGTCTGCTTGCCATATCTCTACGTTGCTTTTCTATAAGCTATGGTCCTCGTACCGGACCTTAATTCATCATACTCCTCCTGTCCTAAGTATAAGAATTTTATATTTAGGACCGGACGAGTATATATATATATATTCTCATTGATCTAACCATATGGCCTGGTGGTAATCTATAGTAATTATTTTCACGCATTAGTTGACGTTGAGATGTAAATGAAATCATTTGTTTCAAATGGGGTTTTATTATATGTTTACATAGATAACAAGGTTTTATTATATATATGTATATATGTAACGCATTATTGAATCTCTGCTGCTCATGTTTTCCATTAAACTAGCTAGCTTTTTCGAAATGAAACAATAACGTGGTAATTTTATAAAATTATTATTTGTTATATTATCGATGAATACGATGAATAGCTTGCAATGACACGTACGAGGAAGCTGCGTTGTGATTGTAATTTTGACAGGGAAAAAATACAGACACTAATCCAGATGAGTTGCCTGGCCATTCTCAAGCTTCATTTGCATCTTCTGCTCCAACAGGTAAGCTTTTCCCATTTTTCTTTGCCCTTTTTGGTAAACGAATCATTTGAAAAGAAAGATTGAATTTTCAAAGGCAGTTTGCTACTGTAGTTACACACATATGGGGTGCACTCTTATTATTATACATTTCACGCTGAAATATAATGTCAAAACTATGTATATATACTCAGTATCACACGCGAAGAAATCTATAAAATTCAAGGAGGATTTTTGTCCAGTATGCTTGTGTGTGTCCTATGGTTTTGTTTTCTGAGAATCAACCTTTTTCATGTTTATTTTGAATTATGTGGGTCATCATATACAGTTGCTGGTAGAGATTCCGATGATGGAAATATTGTAGAATGCAAAGGCGGACAAAAAGATGAGCAAGGGGGCGACCATGATTCCCTGTAAGTTATTTTCTTCTTTCCCCGCAGTCTTGCTCATTAAATCGGGGGAACAATATCACTAATTTACAAATTAAACTTTTTTTTGTCCAGAAGAAACAGATTACATTAAAGTTGCATTAAATGTTTTTTTTTTTCGAGAATTATCATACAATCTCATATCAGCGATGTTAAAAAGCCTCATAATATGTAAATGGATAGTACATAACGAGAAAATTCGTATAAAAAATGATAACAAGTTATACTATTTCCGGTTTTTAATATAAAAACTAGTTGACTAATTTGAGTAGATTAAGAAAGTTTGTTAAGTTAATTATTTATAATAAATAAGTGTTATTGTGTTATCTTTTCTAAATTATCATTATTAAAAGAACTATCTTTAAAAAAATAAATAATAATAAGAAAAAGTACATTGGAGTTTTATATTTAAGATCAAAATAAAAATAAATAAGCTGGCAAAAAAACTTAATTTCAAAATAAATGAGCAAATTTACTAGTAGTTTATTGAAAAAATATTGCATCATCGGCTGTGATCTCTGAGATTAATGTAGATTTACCATGCAATCGAAGTCCTGACTCATCAGCAATTTGCTTTCCTCGTCTCAAAATCATCTGAGAAATTTAAAATACTATCGATAAAAAAATAATTCAGTTTTCGGGGGTTGTTTGTTTCTTATTTTTATTTTTATTTTTTCCCAAGAAGAAACGATAATTTTGAAATTGTATTGCGGCAGTTCAAGGCAGCCGTTATGGCGCAAAGTGCCAGTACCTTCAAACCTAATCAACCCGTACCGAATAGTCATTGTGCTGCGACTGATCATCCTAGCTTTCTTCTTCCGCTTCCGGATTTCCAATCCTGTTCACGATGCGTACGCCTTATGGCTCATCTCTGTAATCTGCGAAGTCTGGTTTACTCTGTCTTGGATTCTCGACCAACTTCCCAAATGGTTCCCCATCACGCGCGAAACTTACCTGGACCGCCTGTCCATTAGGTTTGAGCACAAAGAGCCAAACCGTCTAGCCCCAGTTGATGTTTTTGTAACTACCGTAGACCCGTCGAAGGAGTCACCTATTGCAACGGCAAACGCGGTTCTCTCAATCTTGTCCCTTGATTACCCTGTTGAGAAGGTCACCTGCTACGTCTCCGACGACGCTGCGTCTCTTCTGCTTTTTAATACTCTATCTGAAACTGCCGAATTCGCAAGAACATGGGTTCCATTCTGCAAGAAGTATGATATTGAGCCACGGGCACCTGAGTTCTATTTCTCTCAGAAAGTTGATTACTTCAAAGATAAAGTGCACCCCGCATTTGTTAAGGAGCGCAGGGCCATTAAGGTAGACATATAGATGGGAATTAAAATGTGCTTTCATTTATTTATTTGTGATGGTAGAATTGTAGGTGTTATGTTAAGGACATTCTTGTAAACTTGTTCTCTCCTGCAGAGAGAGTATGAAGAATTCAAAGTAAAAATTAATGCATTGGTGGCAGAGGCTCAGAAAAAACCGGAGAAGGGGTGGGTGATGCAGAATGGTATGCCATGGCCAGGGGTCAACACTGACGATCATCCAGGAATTTGTCAGGTTTGGCATTCCATCCTCAGTTTCTTCCTGCTCGATTTGTTTCTGACGTTTTGTTATGAAGATGCGCGATTTGGCGGATCTGAATTGTAATGCTGTCGCTCATAAACTTGTCATTGTAGGTCTCTCTGGGAGGTGATGGTACTCCGGATGTTGAAGGTAAGGAATTGCCACGGCTTGTGTATGTTTCACGAGAAAATCGCCCTGGCTATCAACACCACAAGAAATCTGGTGCCTTGAATGCTCTGGTACGCAACTTCAACTTCAACTTCAAGTTATATTTGTTACTTCCATTATGGCTGAGTTATTAGAAAAGTTGTTAATGATGCGCGCAATTTCATCTGTCCTAATAAAGGTTCGAGTCTCTGCTGTGCTTACAAATGCCCCTTTCTTGTTGAATATGGATTGCGACCACTACATCAACAATAGCAAGGCTATAAGGGAGGCTATGTGCTTTCTAATGGACCCCAATGGAAGGCGCCTCTGTTTTGTCCAGTTTCCATTGAGTTTCGATAGCATGGATAGCCATGACAGATATGCTAATCACAATACCCTTTTTTTCAATGTAAGGGACTTTTTTCTTAATTCCAACTTGTCAAACACGATTATAAAATGTAACGTTTAATTTCACTAACCGGCCTTCAACATCTGCCTTTAATGTTACTTTGGTTATAGATCAACATGAAAAGCCTTGATGGGATTCAAGGTCCGGAATATTTTGGTACTGGATGTGTACTTAACAGGCGGGCTTTATATGGCTATGACCCGCAAATATTTAAGAGAAGTTCGAAGATTAATTGCGACTGGTGGCCTATGTGGTGTAGCTGTTGTTGCGGTGGTTCTGATTCCGTGATTGATCTTGAAGAGATTGATGAAAATCTTGAAGACTATGATAAACTAGATATATTTGATCTCAAGGACATGGAAGAATCGCTTGAAAGTTCTGACGTGGAGGAAATACTAGAAATACTTGATCTTGGGCAGAGTGGAGAAGATCTTGAAGGTTATGAGGAGACAGAGGAACCATCCCCCATGTCACGGGAAAAATTTGTGAAACGATTTGGGCGGTCACCAATTTTTGTTGCTTCCACTTTGAGGGGGTCTGGCGGGGTTCCAGAAGGCGCTAATGCTATGAAGGAGGCCATTCATGTTATATGTTGTGATTATGAAGAGAAAACAGAATGGGGCAAAGAGGTAATGTTATTCATTGCAACGAGTTTTTCGCCTTCAATTTCTAATTTCTGTTATAAACCATAATTACGAACCAATCAGGTCTTCTTCTCAAATTTATCTCCTTTGTAGATTGGTTGGATTTATGGTTCAGTCACGGAAGGGATCTTGACTGGTTTTAAGATGCATTGTAGAGGATGGAAATCAGCGTACTGCATACCAAAAAGAGCAGCTTTCAAGGGCTTTGCTCCAGTAAATCTATCAGATCAATTATTCGAGATTTTGAGACGGGCTCTTGGTTCCGTTCAGATACTCTTTAGTCCCCATTGCCCGATGTGGTATGGCTATAAAGGAAAACTGAAGTGGCTTCAGAGGCTGGCTTATACTAATACAATTGTTTACCCAATCACTTCAATCCCTTTGTTAATATACTGTACAATTCCAGCTGTCTGTCTTCTGACAGGAAAGTTCATCATCCCAACGGTAAGTAAATTACGTTTTGGTCAGCCAGAGCAATTAATGAATTATATTTGGCTCATATTTGATGAGATATTCGACCTCATAACAATTAATGTATCTTGTGAACTGATTACAAGGATAACTGATCTGTTTTAGGCTATCGTATAAATTTCACTATCAAATAAAGAGAAAGAGGGGGAAACGGTAATTTTGCCATCAGATATGCGTTTCCTGACCAGGGACTTTATTCGATGCAGTTGACAATTCTTGATAGCATTTGGTTAATGGCGCTTTTTGTCTCCGTCATCTCAACTTCCGCGCTAGAGCTTCGATGGAGCAGGGTTAGCATTCATGACTGGTGGCGCAATGAGCAACTCTGGATCATTGGAGGTGTTTCTTCCCATTTGTTTGCTTTATTTCAAGGTCTCCTTGAAGTTGTTACTGGAGCAGATACTGATTTCGTTGGCCGGGCAAAGACAACAAGTAACACTGGCTTCTACCTCTTAAAGTGGACTAATCTTCTCATCCCACCAACCACTCTCGTAATCTTGAATGTTGTGGGAATTATGGCTGGCATCTCAGATGCCGTCAACAATGGCTATGGCTCATGGGGACTTTTATTTGGTAAACTATTTTTAGCCTTCTGGGTTATTGTGCACTTGCATCCTTTCCTCAGAGGTCTGATGGGAAAGCAAAATAGGACTCCTACTATCGTTGTCCTCTGGTCACTATTTGTAGCTTTAGTTTTGTCATTGCTTTGGGTTCGGATCGACCCATTTTTGCCCAGGCAAAGTGGTCCGGTACTTAAACAATGTGGGGTAGAATGTTGAAGTTGCAGAGACTAGTGGATGTAGTGGTGTCCCATTTCGTTTGATGGTTTTGGAATTTTACATTTCAGGAAGACTGTTAATGTAGTATGTAACACCTCACATAATTATATATACAAACGTGATAAAATACTTTCTTTAAAAGTTCATTTAGCATTCAAAACAGATCAATTTCAAAATATTTTTCAGACATAATAAAATAAATTATTGAAATCTTATATTCATGGCAATTAAAAATATAACATAGTATATGTTCGAGGAGTATAGAAGCCTTCACGACTTACTCAACCAGTGCCTTTCTTTGATTCCTACTAGATTCTTCACTTGAAAACGTTAATATAAAGGATGAGATCAAATATTTTACTAACTACTAAAATTCTAACCTATACAAGCAAACTATTTATGATAAACAAAAATCCGTTTATATGTGTGTATATATTTATGCATGAAAATAACTGATTTTATACATTCAACTCAATTTTATTTTTGATTCAATAATATACCAATATCATTTTTCCAACATATCCAAAAATAATGCGATATGCAGCCTCCTTTATATTACTGTCCACCCTGACACCGCTGATTGGAGGCATAGGCTAATACATACTCCAATAGGAACTAACACATTTTACTGAATTATTCCAAACTCACCGATACTGGAGATATATCAGGCCAAAGATATAAAGTTCAAGTTTAGACTATGACTCCCCTTCTTTGCAAATAAAATAAGGAGGTGTCATATGTCCCACAGCTCTAATGAATTCATGATAAAAGGAAAACATGGAAGGAAGAGTCCTGACAAGTGCTATCCACTGTGCACCAAGTGATGACATATCACTTGCTAATTTTATATCCATCCAAATCTAATTATATCATTAGCCCAACAATGTATATGTTATGTGCAAATAATGTTACATCAGCAATACGTCCTCAGATATATTATTAAAGTAAGATAGCAATAAAATTTTTGTATCAATAACTCAATATATTTAAATATTGATCATAATTAATAACAATAAATCTTAAAAAAATAAAAACATTTATTTGAAAAGTCATAATACATACATATATTTCAATATGGTATAATAAATTAGTAAATCCACAATATAATCATACACAATCCATATGTACCTGAAAGAATTTTTAGAGTTACCTATTACTCTTTAGCTTACAAATATTTATGCAATGATTACTCCAAAATTCTCAAGAGTCTACGAAATTACACACAAATATTTATTAATATAAAACTCAAAACTATTTCAAAACTGCTCTAAAATTCTAAGATTACCATCTAAACTAAAATTACAAAAATATATTAACTCTCACAAATCTAGCTATTTATAATGAATACAATATTATTTGGAAATAAAATTTATTTTTTTCATATAAAAAATTATTTAAAATTAATAAATTAAATAAATACATATTTACTACCCAAAATCTAAATATTTCATATTAAAATCTCAATTATTTATTATAGTCTCATTTAAAATTTTTCCTCAAACCAAGTAACTCTTTTGAATTATAAATAGACTTTAACTTTATCTAATTTCATAAAATTCTTAATTTACAATTCTTCAAGCTTGCAAAAATTATTTTAACAATATATCTTTGGCCCATTCAATATTTGAACAGATTAAAACCTTAGTAATATATTGAATAATCCAAATAAATTATTTAACTTAAATTTAATCACTAAAAACATTCTACATGTCTTGAAAAATAAATATTCAACTAAAATCTTAATTGACAATTCTCAAAATAATCATAAAATAAATATAAACAGATTAAAATTTCTTAATAATACATCTTTAAATTTCTACAATTATATATTATCAAAACTCATTACTAACTCCATGTCCAAACAATGAAATTTTCTCCAAACATTATAATGATACTAATAATATAAATCTATAAATATATAGAAAAAATTCATAAAAAAATTTGACAACAAGAAGTATTTTTGAATACATAAACGATCTTCAAAGCTTGTCCTAACTTTCAGATCATGTACTCTGCAGCTTAACTTCTCACTCTTTCTTTTTCTATTTCTCGCACAAAATGAAGGGAAGAAGGATTGCAAGTATTTAATATTCTCACATTTACTTCTCCCTCCTTATTTTTCTTTGACCTGCACCACCCCCCATATTTTTTTTCATCTGCGTCTTCCCTCCTTTTCCTTCTTCAATTAATACTCCTCCTATTTTTTTCCACCTCCATATGTTCCTTCTCTTTTTTTTCTCTTCATTTAATACTCCTTCCCCAAAATTCTTCCATCTTAATTACCTTTCTTTACCACCCCCACCCTCCCACCTTTCCACTGTCGGTAATGGTGGGTGTCTTTTCTTTTCCTTTTCAAAATAATAATAAAATATTATCATATATATTTAAATTGCAATTTTTTTTCTAAAAAAATAGTATGTTGCATGGTATGCAAGCTTGAAGGAAGAAAATAGTTATATTGAGCAATTCAAGAGACCATAATGTCTTTGAGCAGAATAACGTGTCATTTCAGATGATATAAACACGTTACCTAAATGCCTATTGTGCCAACTACGGCACACCACAAAACAATTAGCTAGTGAGTTTCACACGCATACGCTTGGGCGCACAGAAGCTAAGGAACAAGACAGGTTGTGTCAAAAGACATCATCATTCTACATATGAAACCTTGTTAGCTTATTTAGGGATATTGTGCTGAAGGGTTCCACAAGAGAAGTCTGCTCAATAGCCGATAATTGTTGGGCCACAAAATGCATGGTGGGTCTAGACTCAGGGTGCGTTCGCGTGCATGCCAAGGCTATGGTCATTATAAAGGCTATCGCTTCACCCAATCGAGCTGGAGGAGGTGGGAATCTTTGGTCTATTACATCCTTCACCAACACTTGTGGATTCTCCATTGATGGCAATGTGGCCAAGAAATCGCCGGGGTGCTTTCCCAGTAATATCTCTAATACCACCACTCCAAAACTATAAACGTCACACTTCTCTGTCACCTGCGTTGTTTGTGCTAGCTCTGCAAAATCAATTTTTAATAAAACATTGATGAATTCCTTATCCAAAAAAAAAAAAAGCAACTGGTTAGAGTCAATACCTGGAGCCATGTAGCCATAGGATCCAGCAATTGAGGACCATGTTGTTGAATTTGGCGTAAGAAGCTTCGCTATGCCAAAATCTGCGAGGCGGGGTTCATATTCTGAGTCCAGCAATATGTTATTCAACGTCACATCTCGATGTACAACTTGTGGGATGCAATCATTGTGTAGGTACGCTATAGCTTGCGTTATCCCTTGCACAATCTTCACTCTCTGAGGCCAGCTTAATATCGTCTTCATTTCCTCGTCGTACAACACTTTTCCTAGACTGCCTCTTTCCGCATACTCGTAAACCAAGTATGCGTGTTCTTCAGTGTGACAAAACCCATCAAGCTTTATGATATTGCGGTGTTTTGCTTCGGTAAGAGCTTTTATCTCATTCTCGACACTACGAAGATTCTCAGCTGGAATGTCACTGGAGTTTGACATATTGAGTCTTTTGACAGCAACAACTATACCTGTAGGTAATTCTGCTCTATAAACATTTCCGAAACCTCCTTTTCCAATGCAGTATTTGTCGTCGAAGTCATCGGTTGCTTTAACAATTTCAGCAAATGTGAATTCTCCCTTTCTTCCCCAAATCATGCTTACAGGTTTTTTAGTCTTCTGAGCATAATCGGACTCTTCGTTGGGAAGTTTGGCCCGTTGGTGGAACGCTCGGATTCTAACAACAATCACCCCAAAAATTAGTAGCGCACAAACTGGTATAATGACACCAAGAAGTACCTTTTTGTTGACCCCTCCAGAGTTGCCTAGGGAAGATTCTGTGGAACAGGCAATTAATCCTTTTGCCTTGCCGCACAAACCAGAATTTCCAACATAAGCTTCAGTAGGTGCTATTTGGAAAATACCTCCCCTGGGTATAAGACCCATCAAGTTGTTGTAAGAAAAATCGATGGATTGAAGACTGAGCATATTTGAAAACGATGGTGGGATTGTCAAAGATGGTTGCGTGAGACATTAAGGATCTGCAAATGAATGAGCTTTTCTAGGTTCTGAGGAATTGGCCCTGAAAGAAAGTTGCTACTGAGGTCCAGAAGGTATTGGAGCGGTAACAGATTACCAAGTTCAAATGGTATCTCCCTTGTTAAATTGTTATGGCTCAAATTCAAGCTAATTAAACGGCCGCAGTTACTGAGCTCTTTCGGTATGCTTCCAGTAAACTTGTTCTTTGATAAATCAAGATGATTAAGGCGGTCCAATCTGCCAAGAGTCTGGGGGATTTCTCCCGTCAAATGATTGCCGCTCAAGTTGAACAAGTAAAGTTGCCTTAGATTTCCCATTTCTGGTGGAATGCTACCAGTAAATTGATTAGAGTGCAGGCTTAGATATTGTAATTGGCTTAACAAACTCAATTCAGATGGAATTTTCCCAGAGAGCTTGTTGTTATCCATTTCTATCTTGGTTATGCTCTTGCATTCGCTCCATTTTGGGGATAGTTCACCAACAAACTGGTTGCCGCTGAGTGTGATGGATGTAAGACTTAGGTAAATCCCAAATGCTTCTGTGATGTTTTCTGTGAATTGATTTCTCTCAAGCTTCACCACTGTTAATGCTGAACTATTCCTCAAGCACTTGGGCAATGGTCCTGAAAAACTATTGTTATTCACCCTTAAGTCCACTAGTGCAAAACCGCTGCACAGATCAGGCGGCAGTTCCCCGGAGAAGCTATTATTTGAAAGATAGACATATCTCAAATCAGGGCTGTACTTCCCAAAATCTCTGGGAATGTCGCCCGAAAAATTGTTGGTGAATACAGAAAGATTTTGTAACTTGGTTAACTGGGAAATAGTGTTGGGCAACACATCATGGAGAAAATTACTGTTGACATCAAAACTTATCAATGAAGTGAGGTTTGCAATTTCCATGGGAATGGTTCCTGAGAGGTTATTCGAGGCAAGAGTTATGATTGTAATGTTTTCAAGTCTCCATATGGTTGAAGGAATTGGACCAGAAAATTTGTTTGAAGAGACGTCTAAATGGCTCATTGCTTGCAAGTTCCCAATCTCGGGAGGAATGGGGCCAG